AGAAACTACCTTTGAGTGCCAAACCTATTAAAAATGAACCCTTTGTGAAATACCCTTCAGCAGTGAGACGTAAATGACAGATTTCGCAGCTGTACACGCACTTTTTTGCCCTTTTAATGATAAGAATCTTCTTTTTTACAGTAGGTCCTCATCATTTGAGCTGTAAACTGCCAGAATTACTTTCCTTTGTGAATTTACAAGTTACTTCCCTAGTTAGGTGCAGTACGAGAGCTGTATTTTATTGCCAAAGCAGTGCATGGGGCAGATGAAGTAAGAGCCAGTCTTACATGTTGTAAGTCTTACCATCCAATGGTAAGCACATGGAGGATGTGCCCTGGGTGCTCCTGTGGCACACTGACCACAGCCTCCCACCACAGGGAGAAGCTGGAGATCAGGTTCTAGCCACCAGCAGTGTTGCAGAGCTCCCTGTCCTGCAGGAGCTGGTTTGGCACAGCAGTGCCCATTCCAGAGCGGGCCAGGGGGTGAGAGTCCCTTCTGGCCACTGAGGCTGGCCGTGCTGTCACCCTGGCTGAGGACCAGAACACCCCATGGCACTGCTGGGGGAGATGTCTGAGGGTGGCACAGCTATGGCCCTAGAAGCAGGGCTCTGCTCACTGTTTGTGCTCAAGGTGAATAGAAGCTGCTGTGAAAGTTTCTGGTTTAGTAATTTTAATGATAAATTTTTAATCTGGTCATTATTTTCTTTGATTGCTAATACCCTGACCTCTGGTGACAGCTGCTGCTTGTGCCTGCTAAACTTTAATGCAGGTTACAGTAAAGAACATTATGATTATTTGAAAAGGCAGGGTGTAATGCATTTCAGATTAACAGTGAAAGAAAAGCTATTCAAGTTAGAGGTTCACTTTGCCATATCACTCTCTATGCTGCTTTCCTTGTTATCAGTACAAAAAATGAGAATAGCACATCTTTTAATTTTCTTCCACTATTACCTCTTGATTTGCATTCAGAGCTCCCAGAAGAAATACGGCTGAATTCAGAAGTAGTCTATTTAAGCTGCGTGGTGTTTTAAAATTGCTGGAAGAGGTTAAGGTACTGTATATTATGCAGTTGACCTTACTAAGAGGCTCTGTTAACAATTTAGACTTACAATTTTCTGCCATTACATTTTGTTAATTTTTTTTTTTTTCTTTTTTTTTAAGCAAAATTCATTATCTCTTTTGGTACCCCTGCAGGTTAAACCTTTTGATTTCTCTCTAACTTATTTTGTAAGATTTCTAATTTGTATTTAAACTTCTTATATTTAAAAGGTTGTTTTGCCAGTATCTCTTTGAAAAGAGGGAATTTTTTTGTCTCTCTCTTTGTACCCGGTCTGCAGAGGCTGTGTGCCTTCCCAGCATTATTCTTAGGAGGAAAAAAACCCAAACCCTCCATCTGCAGAGTCCTGCAACTACATTTGAGCTCTTTTATCTAGCACTAACACGTCTTTGTGGCTGATCAGCTTGGAACAAGATGTCCAGGGAAAATATTTTGGATCCTGCCTTTACCAAACAGTTGTAGCCTCCTAGTATGTTGGATTCAGCCTTCTGGGATTTAATGTTTGTTCCTTGGCCTAGCACTGGTTAGTACTGGGTCTGGTCATTGAGAAAAACAGCAAATTTTAACAAAGCAACAATAGCAAAATGTGCTGGGGTGGGGGGAGCTGTACCCTGTGTCTCTTTAGCCATCGACGTTAGAGGCGTTTGTGCTCTGACTTGAATCCTGGATGGGGGACTTTTTCCTAAATGCCCAAGGTGTCACCATCCCAGCTCTGTGAGTTCTGCAGCTTCACTGGTCCCCAGCAGCAGCTGTTTGTTGTGGACACTGCCTCCCTGTCACATCTGAAGACTACAGCAATGACTCTGCTAGTAAATAAAACAGGACAGCAGCTCTGGGGACTGAGGCCAAGTAGCATGCACCAGCCATAGTGGCATGGTACAACCTGTGACTCTCAGGCACAATCGTTATTTTGAAGAGTTTTCTCTTGCTGCAGTGTTTATGCTGTTCATGCAAGTGGGACTAATGAAGGTGCAAAGCATCCTGGGCCCCAGTGGAAGACTGCAAGAAGGGTACAGAGACAGTCCAGACAGACTTGTCCATGTTGTCCACTGGCAATGATCCCTGGTCCATGCTCTCCCACAAATAATGGCTGGGCACTCTCATGCAGTGCTAGCTGGCACTGACCAAAATCAGGCCAAGTGCTATAACTAAAGCAGTACAGACCATGAGAGGTGCAGAGCTGGGCATCACCTGACCTGTCTTCTGCTTGGCTGTGTTGGCGCAGCATCCGAGCCCAGGCTCACAGAGTGGCCCCACAGTCTGTGGGTAAGGAAGGGGTGTCCCTCCATTGAAGCAGGATCAAGCTGTGACTCACAGCTGCAAGCACAGGGTGAAGATAGTATGGGCGTTGTGAAATTTCAGTGTTTCATGAGTTCCTATTCATTCCTCACACTGTTGGAACAGTCGCCTCGACTTCATACAGCAAGAATAATAATGATCCATCGACAGCTGCCTTCCTGTTGTAAAGTCAACACAGGGAGGGAGAGAAGCCTAGTATGGATCCCAGAGCCAGAAGGTAGTTTTATTCATTTAATGTCTAAGGTATGTAGGTTGTGATTAGCACCATAGCAACTATCTGAGCCACTTGAATGATTTAGATACACAGATAGCAACACTTGTTATTTATGCAGCACCCTTTATTAGAAAATTAAAAAATGCCTGATGGCAGTCTCATTGAGTAGGTAAACTGCATTCATTTGTTGATATGAAGGTGCCATAAAGCCTCTGTATCACTGGCATCATGTACACGATAGAGACTGTTTGGCAACAAGTAAGTAAAACAGTTAGAGGTTCTAAGGAATAAAAGAATAAACCAAGAGGACAAAAACATACTAAACAGATGAAGAATCGGCCTGTGTACAGAGCCAAGCTGAAACTTGGCAGCTTTATAGTCCAGTTAATACAGAAACAAATGGAAGTCCAAACAATAGGAACAGATCTGGAACAAATATAATAATGAACTCACAAATGTTATAAATTGACTGCAAAGATAAAAACATATTTTGAATTAATTGTGTCCATGTAGTTTATTCTACTGCATACTTTGCTTCTGGGAAGATTGTGTATCTGAAAAAGCCATATGAAGTATATTCATAAAGCAATAGAAATAGCAATAAGAAATTTTTCTCACTTGAAATAAGACACAAATTTGCCTCTATGTTATTAGCTCATTTTCCTCTGAATTATCTTGAACTTCTAGTCAGACAGCAAAGTTAAAATAAATTATTTCGTCATGCTGCAGAGTATTTCTTAACTGTGTAATTCTTTCCTTTCAGAATGCAGATACAGAGCACATAGTGGTTCTGTGTGTCAGCATTTCCCTGTGACGCTCAGCTTTTGCAGCATTTCTGTTTTGACTAAAAGATGTAATTATTTTTACAGATAAAAATTTAAAATCTTAAATGTGTATAGTGACTCCACACAGTCCTGGTCAGTGCCAAGAAAAGTATACTCTGTATCTGAGGCGAAGTGTAGACTATATCAATGAGGTCATCTTAATTATGAGAAATATTTGCAACTCCCAATTGCAGGCTTAATTTGTTTTATGACATCCCGCTTTGCAGAGCAGGGCCAGTGTGAATGCAATAGGTTAGACTTTGGCCATGTGAACATCATCCCTCCCTTAGCACAGAGTTGGCCACCATCAGTGCTTGCCCCAGTAGTATAGCCATCCTATGCAGTATCCATGCCACAGCAAATGATCTTGGAAAGGAAAGGGTACGTGACAGATCACCTCTTCCTTCCTGGCTGCAGGACCCAGTACACCTCCCTGAGGTGAACAAAGCCACAGTAGCCAAGGTCTCAACTTAGGTTAGCCAACCTGAGGTAAAATCCTGTCCAAGAAACTTGTAGTGCTTATATTGGTGACCAAGGAGGACAAACAAGTCAGACAGCTAGACTTAAGACTACATCCTTTCTTCATTTGAACCTTTCCAATTTAAATGTTTTCTGTCTTTACATGGGAGGGTAGGGGAGTCTCTTAGAAATGCTAATAAAACTATAGTGTTACATCACTGCAAGGCTGTCATCTCCTCTGGTAGAGATGGATCTGTCTGGCTTTAAATTGCTCATCCCTATCACAACGGATGTAGCCTAACTGTGGTTTCAAGGCCCGGCAAATGACAAGCCAAGTTTGCTATTTCAGCCAATTAATAGCATTGGTATTTATGCAGGAATGCAGCTGAAAGTGCAAATAAGGCCAGTGACTAAACCTTCCCAGCAATTACGTTTAATAAGGTACTGTGTGTTATTTACAGAAAACGTACATCACACAATTCCTACAGATAAAATGCACACAAAGTATAAAGACAAAAGCTGCACTCTCATAACATGCTAAACAAAATAAATAAAACTGCATTATTTTGGCACAATAGCTATTACATAAATAAATATTCTAGAACAATAATGAATTAAGATCTATTTACAGTCTATTGAAAGTGCAAAACAATTGGCTGAAAATTAAGATATTTGTAAATGCTTAAGACCAGAAAATGTGTTAACCAGCCACAATTAATTATAGCTGAAGTTTAAGGTTTTAATGTCCAGAAAATTATTCTTGAAATCTGTTTGTGCATATTGTGCTCTTTTTGAACCAGTCCTTTGCTACTTTTATGCTATTGATTCTGACAACCTTATTATTGTAATTCAATTTTGTAAAAACATGATTGGTAGTTTAAAAAAAATAACTGAAATGTAAACACAGGTTAACCTATTTATAATTAAAAATATTTTTAGTCCTGTCAGTTTTCTGAAGTGGCCACACTGATTGCAATAATAGGCAGTATGACTAAGATTAGAAACTTTTCTTAGTATCTGTTTTATTTCAAATGGAACTATTAGTGAGTCTTCCCTGAATGGAACTATACCTTAGACCTCTCCTGAGCCTACTTTCTTTCATTGGATGCTTAGATACGTCTTCTACTGAGGTCAAGACTAGTTGGGAGAAGCTAAACTGATGATCAGTTTTGGTCCTGACGTAGAGAATAAATGAAAAAGCACAGATTTTTAATTAAGGAGAAAAACACTACCTTCCTTAGAACTGTGAGAAGCTTTTTGTGCATTTTTCACTAACTATTCTGTTTTATCTTCTGCCTTTTTTTTTATGCATATGAGAAATCATTTACTACACCTTAAGAGAAATTAGCAGTTCCCAACATGGCCACCCGTTCAGCTACAGTGGTTAAATCCTTCCTCAGACAAAGTTCTCTTACAGGCTGGTACATTGTGCGTTGCCTAGGACCTTAGAATATGTTTTTGCTTATTTTTGTAGTGGCAGCATGGTAGCAGAGAAAGTGAAGTTCTTAACAAGTGACCTTGACAGGATAAAAGATCATTTTCTCATCATTGCTTCAAATGTTTACGCTCGACGCGGTTCTAGTCGGTGAGACATCTGTGATAAAGTTCTCTGGTTGTCAATCACATTTAATTGCCGCACATAGCTCCGAACATCCTGATGGTTCTTATTAGTCAGGGCTGCGTCGGGATCTGGTGAAAGAGAAATGATGTAGGATTGATACACTTAAGTGAACAAATGTCTGAGCAGAACGCATAACTCTTTACAAGCTGTCACAGGAAACAGTAGTTCATGGTGAGTTAAAAAGAAAATATTTAGAAATCGCTCTCTTTGAAACCTTTCCTCCATATCTGATAGTCTTTCTGGTTACTGCCTTCCCAAATTAACTTCTTCTCTCAGATATCCGTGGTTACATTTCTTTAAATTGATGGCCCTTGGTTACAGTTTTATAGATCACCTTACCAGTCAATAGCTGTAAACTATATGGCTAACTTGTATGATTTAAAGCTGCCCATCTGTTTTCAATCCAGCAGCTTTCACACAGATTCAAACTATACAATTGATTTATGCCTCCTTTCATGAAATATTCCTGTTTCTAGCTCAGTACTAAGTATCTGTAACACTGTACTGCTTAGTGGCTGCTCCATTCAAGCCTCAAAAATTGCTACCCATTTACATTACTTAACAGCATTGTACCTATTAAATATGTGCAAGGTAACTGCTCTAAAAAAGAGACTGAAGTACCTACTACATATATATAAAAAGGACAGGACTTAGACACAGTACATCTATATACTGACATTTTGTTATATCATGTATAGCGAAAATCTACTTCCATTTCTAAATAACGTGCACATGGAGGTCTCACTAGTGCTCAGTACATTCAAATGAAAAGGTACATAGTCATAAAAACCTTGATGGTGGGAGAAAAAAAAAAAGCTCCCTTATCTTGATCTTCTAAGATCTAAGCTTTTACCAGATGGAAAGAAACCATTTTTATTTAAAAAATATTGGTTTATACTATTTATTCTGTTCTTTGAGAAAGAGGAAGGCTGCTGTGAGGCAAAATGAATAAAGTGCTGAGGAAACACTTGGCCAGTGTGTACTGGGGCTGACAGTGTGATGCGACCCACAGAGAAGCCTGTCTGACCATACAGCTCTGTCATCTTACATGGCCTCAAGTACGTTCTGGTAATGATACTGACAAACAGGTTTTAAGTTAATCACCTTATGCAGTTCTGTCATTTATAAATGTCATGTTTCTGGCCTGGTTTCTTATAAAAACAGGGTTTATCCAAGCAAGTACCTTGCATGTACCTGTGTCATACTGTCTGCTAGCCTCATTTCAGCCACTTCTGAACCCAGTGAGTGGCTAATTTCAACCTTTTCTAATTAGACAGGTGTGTAGAGACCTCACAGATATGTAGCTCCTTCACATACTTGGAAAAGAGATGAAGGAGAAGGGGTTTATTAGAGCTTCCTGAAGGATATTTCACTCTGTGAAACACTGGAGGATGCAAACATGGAAGAATCATTAGAAAAGAGGCTTTTCAACTCTGGTACACACTAATTACTGTAGCTACTGATGATAATGCTGACTGTGCAGATGTTGTGATATACTTACTGAAGGATTGGCTTCGGCAGAATTTCACTGTCCTGACAGTGCTGGCAATCATGCGCTGCAAAGAAAAGATGGGATGCAATCAGAGAACAAGCACTGTATTTCATCATCATTTAAATGAAACACCTAACTGTGCCTGAGTGTGAAGACACATGCCAATAAAAGCAGACATATGAATGAAAATATAATTTTAGTGCTGTTACCCTCATATGTAGGGTGTGATTTGCATTTACACAGGCTTAAAATGAGCATGAGAGTAATTTACATGTGCTCAGAGAACCCTTTCCCTTGCTTGGATGCTGTAAAAGGCGTTAACTAGGAATTAAAATCAGTGTCTTCAATGTGCATTTCTTTGATACCTCCTTCCCAGATTAAAAAGTAGGACTATCATGTAGAACACCTTGCAGTATGTACATGTTTTAATTTTTAGACCATCAGTTCCTAACAGCAAGGTCATTTCTAGAACATATTCATTCATTAAAGAGCTTTCCCCTTTCATATCTATTTTAGCTTCAAATGCAGCCCTCCTGGAAAACGACAGTGTAAAATGAACATTTGAGGGCATTTGTTCACTGACAAGTGTGCTCAATTCACAGGTGGGAAGGCCACCATTACAACTATGGCTAGACAAGTTCCATCAAACAGGCCTGTTAAGTGTTAGCTTGTGCAAGTGTATCTAACTCAACACAGAAAGTGGATTAACTTTTGGTGGACATTTCTACTGGTAATTCACAAAAAAAAAGCAGAAGTCAGTTCAACCCTTGGCTGTGCTTGCTCTTCAGTAAATAAGCTATCACTTCGCTCACTATTTTGAGCAGAGACCATAAAGCTGGACCAGTCAATCTGATGAAGTTTCAACAGCATCTGACTTCAAGGGAAGCTTCACTAAGGACACCATTTTTCTGAAGATAGCTATTGTCCTTGATGTGCTTTTTAGATGGATTAATACACACCCTAGTTTTTCATACCTGTAAATGTTTAGGTTTTGAAGCCTCATTTAATAATGATATTTGGAGCTAGACTGTAGGCTCAGTGTTTGATTAGTTCAATATTAAGCTTCATAAGTGAAAACCTAGATTTATCAAAAGTAGTGTGTTCTATGAAATAATTTTACTTTTTTTTTCTTTATGTGGGAAATTTGTTCCAAAAAAAGGTATAGCATTCAGAATAAATACTGCAATGATGCACTGTACTGAAAGAAAAATCAGGTGTGTAGTGAAGGTAAGTAAAACTGAAGTGACAATGAACTCATCTGATTTCTGGTTAAAGGCTGAACTGCCTGCCTTCCTTCAGTTGGCTGACAGGCTTCATTTTAAGGAGTTACTTTGCCTATTCCTGATAATAATCTCATTCAATCTGTGCATTCAGAAGAATCTTGGCAATTATGAAACACAAAGGAATGAGGAAGTAGGTGTTAAGGCAGAATAACTGGAGAAACTGTGGCCAGAAGACATCACTGCAACCCAATGGGGAGCTTCTGGAACATGGTGTCCTTTAAGAGCTTCTTTCACATTGCTTTTTCCCAGGTGCTGTTGTACTGTCTAACAAACTCAAAAGATGTCCTCTTTGGAAGGGCACATTGAACAAAAAAACAGCAGATGAAGCAAAGCACATTTCCCTTCCTGAATCTTGAAGATAAATTGGATTGTCTTCTTTTGATTCAAGAAAACATGTACAGAGAAAATGTTCAGATGGAAATTTATTTTCTGGCTCTTTACAATTTTTCTTCAAATAGAGGATTACCTCAAGTTAATGCCTGCAAAAATTAACCTCTGTTTACTCACTGTGCTAAGAAAGACCATTATCAAAAAGCCATACAAACCTAAATTTGGGTCCTTCTGAAACAGAACCAACTGCATAATATAACGAGCAACCACTACTACCAGCATATTATATATACACAATCATACTCTTTCAAGTTTTACACAGTCTGGAACAGTGGCAGCAGGCCAGCATATTATCTTCTAATCCATTCCAAACCCAAGTTTCTAAGTTATAAATATTCATATATGCCATAGAAAACTACTACAGGCTTTAGTCACACATTTTTTGCATAATCTTTATGTTCAAAAAATGAAAAAATGTTTGCCTTTTTTTTTTGCATAAGGATCAGAGTGTGACTTCCCTTTTGTTCATCTCCACAAAACCTGAAAACCAATATGTGCGGATTCTCTAATCCTCATTTCACACCTGAAGGATGAAGATGCTTGACAAAAGGAAGCATCAGTGGCCAGCACCATGGCAGGCCAGCACTTCCAGAGCTCTTTCATGACTTCTGCTCCCTCAACAGCTGTCATTTCTGAGACTTGCTGGAGAGTACTACATGGAGATGGTGCCATGGAAAATGATCTTTGTTCTGGCTGTCTGATGATTCAAGAAATGGCGCTGATAAAATTCCCAAATAATTGCATCTTCCCCCTCTCTCTCAATACAAAATTTTGTACTGGCTGTTAGAGCGCAGGATTACGCAGCTGAGGTTTGAAAACAGGGCAAATCAGTAAGTGGCCAAGAGTATGACATATTGCCTGTCCTTGAGGAGAATCATTGCCTGTCCTTAAGGAGAATCATGTTCAGTATTTCTCTCACTTTCCTCTCTCTTCTTTCCCTGGCAGAAAATAATCTAGGAAAGGGCTTCTAAATTTTTTCAGAATATATAGCTATAAAAGCAGCGTAACTTGAATGTTAAGTACTGCAATGTACTGTGCTGCAGGTTGTAGATTATCTCGTATCTGCTAAATCATCCAGAGTTTATAGGAAATAATACTGCTGGCAACCTTAGGGGCTCTCTTTCACCTGAAAAGAGGGTCATTATTGGACCTAAAAGACAAATGTGTATTCCAGATCACAAGCTAATTGTGTTTGCTGTATATTGACATCTTTGTATCTTTCACCTACCTGCAGATCTCAACATGTCTTCAACCTGCCAAATTATAACTACAGCATTCAAAAAACTTTACAAGACTATTTATTCCTTGTTCCTCTATGACAAGTATGTATTCAGCTTTTACCTAGACAGGTCTAGGTGCCTCCAAATAAGAGGCATCCATGAGGAGCAGAAGGGGAAGAAGAAGCAGGCAGTTACAAAGGCAGCAGCAGGTAAAAGCTCAGCAATGCTCTGCAGAGTGACGTCCCCCCTCTACTGCCAATACCACAGTTCTGTCACTACACCTCTGATCAATTTATAGGAAAGTGTAGCAGTAAAAAATGGACTCAACCCCTTTCCTTTTTAGCTTGACTTGCTAAAAAAACCCTAGGATAATGTGGCTTAATAACCTCTGTTTGTTTTTCCCTACTTCTAGAGAGTTTTTTTAAACTTGAAAAAAGAACTCAGTTTTCAAACATAAGAAAGCTCCTACCAATTTTCTGTAAAAATAGATGGCTGTGGATAAGAGAAAGATTGTGTAAGCACCATGTTCGCCTGTCTCCTACAGAGAACAGGCTGTAGTGCAAGTTCCAATGTTATGACAGAAGCAGATTCACACAGAATTCCCCAGCCATGAAGAAACTACACATGCCCCAGCCACGAGGAAAGCTCTGAGCAGAGCTCAACAGCCATGAAACACAAATGATTAGGAAACCAGGCCTCGTTGTTTCTGGCACTTGGGGAACTGCTGGCTCAGACACTGTCTGACAGCCCCCGTGTGTTTTAAGATGCATCATTTAATATAAATAACAGAAACAACAGAAAACATTAAAGATTTAATGGAAGCTGTTTCAGCTGAAGAGATGCCACTAGATCAAACTTCTACTTTTGGCTGCTAGTTACAGGAATAAAGTTGTCAGCAGCACATCAGCTGTCAGGATCAGAGCTCTGTGGTGAGAATGCAGACATGATGCCAGAGGCTGTTCTCGGTTTCATCACTGTGCTTACGTGAGAGATGAGGGACCTGGCTCCTCTGGTGGCAAATGGCACCACCAGTGGCAACTGCCCAGATATTTTTATTCATAAACTTCAGCTAGCATCAAAATTAGGATGGATCAAGGGAAATAATTTTCTAAAGAACAAAGCTATTTTAGAGAGATGAGAAAGAGTGGCTCCCAGCAATCCTCAGAGGTATCTCCATTTGCTTGTGACAGAACATCACACAGAACAAACAGGCAGGACACAACTCCCATGAGGAAATCTGGTTTCTGCTTTTCTCCTGAAAATGGCAGAATAGTATCACAGATCCACCTTTATTTTACACTTATGTAAAAGAGAGCTGAGTTTATCTGAGTGTTATTTGCCTGAGTGTTCTTGTCTTCACTAGTTAGTATCTGGCAATAATGTGTGGATAAGACAGTTCTAAGCTTAACACAAGTAGGTGGTAGTGACTGAGGCTTTTCTTTGCTTGACCTGATGACACAAAAGGCTAAAAACTGCCAGGTCCACTTTAGGATTTGAATTAATTATGTGGAATCCGAATACGTCCTGCTTTGAAGAGGAATGGGTTGAGAGAAGCAGTTAAAACACTTCAGAAGCGTGCAGAATAGCCAGTGAAGAACCTTAAAAAGACAAAAGATAGACTTTGTAGTAAGGCCTGGACAAAAAGCAGAGTGAGCTTTTAGGTGGAGCAGTAACTGAAGAAAGCTATTATATTGATTCTTTGAAAAATATATGGAATAAAAAATACATTAATTGATCTTCACTTTCTGTTCCTAAAGGAAATGCGTAAAGCTCAGATTACTGATCAAAAATGGGTGATGATTCATACAGTATAAAATTTTAATTAAAACCCTTGGGTGCTAGTAGTAAACCCATGTTCTGAAGATAACATACTTCTGAAGATAAGGTAACGCGCAGACTATGGTGAAAGGGCAAACCTGCAGCAGCCTTGATGTAGATCATTTAAGCAGCTATAAAATTCACTCTTGGCCTTGGGAGTGCCAAACTGTGGTAGACAGTGGTGCAGAACCATTTCTAAATGACATGCCTGGGTCAAACTCCTGCCTATGGGCAAGTGCTCACAGGAGAGCTCCTGTGCCCTGGAATGGCTTTTACATCTAATCAGTCATAAAGAAAAGCCCCAAGGCATGCAGCTCTGAGGCCAGTGGAGGTATTGGCCATTCTGGCCAAGTGAGGTGGAGAACATGGAGCCAGCCACATAGCCATGGCTATAGCAATGCAGTTGCCATCTCTTCTGGTCTGGAGGTGCTCCACCCAAGTCTGAGATCCCTTTGTGTTCCTCAAAAGATCTCCTATCTGCACTAACATACATTTATTTATCAATCTAATTAGAACAAGCAGTCCAGGAAAAAGTCCTTTTCTGCAGGTAGAAAGCTCAAGGCCTTTAGAAGGAGATGGCAACACAGTCTGTGTATGTAATTACAGAATGTCATTACTGCAAAGTGAGCTCAGGCCCTTACTCAGGCATTAGCACTACCATTTACCCACAAAAAAGTCTCAGCTTGGTAGAGATGTATTTTCACCCTAGGGCAGAGGCTGTCCTGGAGCTACAGACTAAAATCTAAGAGAAGAATTCACTCAGAGTGATGATCACTTTTCTTTGAAGTTTTCAGAAGATCTGAAAGTCCTCCTCTCTTTCCCTCCATGGCATTAGTTCTCAGCAGGTAAGACAAGCTCCTCCATAGTGCAGTGGAAATAACCATGGAGTGGTTCTGGTTACTGTAATACTGAGAACAAGCAGATATAGGTGCCTGAGTAGGAGTGCTCTAGCACAGCTGCTAAATGGAGCTTTGCTGCAGAAACAGTAAGCCAGTTTTGGTTTTGCAGTGCAGCTGCTCATAGCTGGGCTTGGCTAACACTAGTTCTCAGATGTAGGTGTCACAAACAACATTAATTAAGAACATGGCCTTAGCAACCAAGAGAACTGCTTCTCAGCTTGAGTTTCAGTTGAGATTTCTGCCATGGGAAATTGCCAGCCTGCAGTTTTTGACAACAGTGTTGAAAAAATGAGAGTTTAGGTGCAGGATTCAAAATAAATAAAATTTGAGCATAATCTAACCTATGACTAATTCCCCTTTCCAATATGAAAGCGATCAAGTTACAGAAGTCTCCTTTCACTTGTTAAAGGAAAGAAGAAAACAACATGATGTGGACATTCTTTATGAAAGCTTCTTTCATTCTCTGAGGAGCAATGCAGAACTATTGCACCCTGAGGCAGTTGAGTTCTGTTTGAAGGACCGGCAGTTAAAATCACAGCTTGATCCCAAAATGACTGTTAAAAATTGTCTCTAACAGCTCTGCTTCCTGTCACTGCTGCTGCCTCTCCTAGGAAACATTCTGGCAGTTGCTTCTCCACCTCTGTGAGGTTTCCCAGAAGCTCAGAGGTCCCAGGCAATGTACACAACACAGACTATTTTGCCAGCTTTTGGTCTTGCCTTCATGTTCTCTAGCCCTGAAGTTCATTGTTGAGCAATTCACTCTTGAAGAGATGAATAGGGAGGTCTTTTAACATTTTAATTTCAAATGTGTCATACATACCATTTTTTCGAAGTTTACTAGGTTGTCAGTGAATGTCTTGTTTCCTTCATGAGTAAATGTCATGTCTGTTTAGAAACAAAACCCACATAAAAGCCTGTTAGTGAATCACGTCACACAAAACAGCAGAACATTTTATCTATCCCTTACAAAAATCAAAGCAGCTATAAAACATTTAGATTTTAATTTGCAGAATCTCTCAGACCAGTATAACTAAGGTATGATATTCAGATGTACTAAAGCAGTTTTTCTTGTCTCTGTCATGCTTATTATAATGGAAAAAGATCATACCTCACACTGAGATCGATTTTGGTTTTTCTTGCTGCTACTCTTGTTCTTCAAATATTTCACAAATAGCTTTCATGTTAATAATTCTGGTAACATCCAAGCTTACCTTTTATAAGTAGTGGCATGAAAGGAATTATTGGAGGGTCCAATTTAGCTACTGTTAGTCTGTAGGCCCTATGGTTTCTTGATGGATCCTTAAGGAAAAAAAGAAATAAAATAATTATTAATATGTATTATTATATGTATTGAGACACTGTATGCATTAATTTAGATGTCATGACATTTATTAAAGCCATGAGAGAAAAGAATGGCTTTAAAACTGCATCTGCAAACTAAGACACCTTTTTATTATTCTCCCATACAGCTTACATGATGAGAATGCAGCTGCCAAACACAAACATTTTTCATGCCAAATAGCAAGGCAAGATATGATTACAAAAAAAATTGATCATAAAAGGAAAACCACATCTTTCCTCCCTCCTTGCAGCTGCAGATTCAATTTTGCATATGTTCTGACACTAAAACGTATTGCCTGGAAAATCCAGGTTGGAAAATATAATTTCCCATATGTACTATCATAGAACATGTGATAAAGCTTTTCTGAGTTCCCAGATTAACTCTGAGTGGTACATAAGTACCACACTCTCAGAGTAGGTTCCTAAGAGTATAATTTATTAGTCATACATACTTGTTTTAGCAGCTCTAAAATGGGATCATAAACTTCTTTAAGTCAAACAAGGGCATATAAAATGTTATGAATCAAGGAATTCAAATCAGTTACTCAGAAACTGAATTAGCTCGGATTGTGCATAGAATAAGGGATCTATTGCTATTCACCATTAAGCTTTCAAACTCTGCATAGATCTTCTTGAACTTGCTTGGAAGTTTCTGTTAATAAAAACAAAAATAACAAACCTTAATTAAATCAAATTTGTGTGGCAATTTTACTGTAAATGCTAGTTCCTTCTACAACGCCCTAAGTCAGGAAAGTGCTCTTTTTTGCCAGATATTTCTAACAATGTGCTAATCTAAAATACAACATGTTTCCTAGCAACCAGATTATAAATAGAGACGAGACCAGCCACAAAACCTGGATCCTGATTTAAACCCCAACTTGAATTTACTCCTTTGGGATTTTTAGATTCAGATTTTTGTTTGACTCACTTTGCAATCACTGAATTCGGAATTTAGGCGAAAGTTCAAGTCAATGGTTTCAGGACATTCCTGATTAGAGGCTATAAGAAAATATGATTTATACACAGCTTGTGTAGGGGTAGCTCAGCTAAATTAGTCATACCTATAATGAACAGCCCTTGCAACATTCAAATCCATGCCTGGGCATTTCCAGGAGGTTTTTGTGTTCATGCTGATGTATCACCAACTATTGCTCAAATTCTTGACATGCCCAGCAGCCAAGAGCCTCTACTGCTTTCTGGGGTATAAATTAATGAATAGTTTTTCAGTCCACAATACCTACACAACTAAATCATGGTCAGTAGATCATGCAGTGATTGGGATGCAATGGATTTTATTAAATATTTTTTCCCCTATTTTATATCTATTCAATAATTCTAATTTAAAGGCTAGAAAATGTTATTAATTAGTTTCAGAGATCACACTAATGTTTTATGCACACTCAGAACATGTCAGCTTTCTAGATATAATAAGAAAATTCTCTGTATTTGCTGATTACATCAGACTACTATTAGCAATGGGTAATGTTAAAAATTAATGGAGACTTCATAGTGCTGAAATTATTTTTTGCAATACTTTCTACATTTGGAGTGTGTACCCTAGCAAGATATTTACACTGTGCCACAGCAAGGGCCTAATTTTTAATGATATGTGTCAACAACTGCGTTCCTAGTTTGCATATGCATACAGATTATGTATTTGTGAAATAAGTGGTATATTTGGACATTTGCACCTGCAAATATCTCATTTGTGCATGGAACTAATGTAAATGTATGATAATATAGCAAAAATCAGGTCTTGGTATGTTTGGTTTCAAGTATATTCTGCATACATATCTGGCTAAAATCAAGCTGCAGGTCCTCTTGATAAATTGACTGTCCTACAGAACCATAATGCAATAGCAGTTCCCTGGACTCGAGTTCATACCCTACACCTACAAATGATATGTGCCCCTCCAGCTCAGCCCCTGTGCCCATTTCAGATTGCTGTATGTTGTATATACATGCAATTCACTCTTCTCTTTTCATACTACTCCTGTAATGTCTCAGGTCTCCTGGTTATTCCTCTCAGTAGCCACAAATGAAGGGTCATTATTTTGATAAACTGATATGCTAATCTTTGCCACATTGTATGTGTTACTAGCAGTATGTACTTTTGAAACCAGGCTGGTGTCTTCTCAGTTGTGTTAGTCTGATCTCATATTTCAGAGCACATTTTAAAAGTTTGGTCTCAATTGCATCCATTACCTCAGTCCTGCTAACTACTCTGAATTTCTAATAAACAAATGACATGCACATTCAAATCTGCACTGCTTTTGACAACAAGTACATTCTTAGTGATTACATGTGCTTAGTGATCACCTTGCTGGACTTTGCACCCTTTTTATATACTCACATCAGAAAGAGCAAAGCCACAGAAAAAGGTGGAAGCTCTGAGAATGAAGGTCAAACTAACAGTAAGCAGGGGAATGCATGTCAGAGAGAAAACCAGAACTGGATAGGAAAAACCCACATTTCAATAGGGCAACAGAGTCCACATGGAGATCGGAAAATAATATGTATAAACAGAGGATGGATCTATGGAGTGATCTCACTAAATGATCGATAAAGTAACACAGAGGATGGCCTCATCAATAAAAGCTGCTATTGTCACTCTTGTTAACTGCTTGTGAGCTCAACAGATCTATGGGTGTACTGCCACACTAATAAAAATTAGCTAAAGGCTTAGTCTCAGGAGCTGAATTAGTAGATCTAATTTTATAAAGAATAAAGGCCCAAGTAATGTTTTGGCTAACTAAAAGCACAAATCCCAGTCAAACTTCTTGGAACTGGATTTTAGCTAAGACTTACCTCCCATGTCAAGGAGAGACGGCTCACAGCAACATTACTCAGTCCCATAATAATAGCGAAAAAGGAATTCAGATTTTTGTATTCTTTACAGCTGAAACACAAAGGGCCAGGTTTTAAGGTCTATGCATCTGTCAGGGCAGAAGTGCACATGACAACCTTAAGAGAGTTGAACCAAAGCATCTAGCATAGAGGTGACTGAATTTGGGCAGCCCAGGCCAGCACACCTGCAGCACACCCTTTTACCAGTGTGTGAGTAATTCACCGCACTCCAGAGGCTCCTTTCCCCTCCCTCCTAAAATGACCTCTTGCTTCCACTTCACTGGGTACTAGCTTCTGCAAGGACATTAAAGGAGTCTTTGAAGTTCCTCCCCACCCAGAAACACAATCCTGAAACATCTCAATTCAGTCCCAGGGAATACCAGCAACAGTGGAAGCAACTGGTTTAGAACCTCATTTGCTGCAGAACCTGCTGACAGCTTCTGAACAGCTACTGAACACTGGAAGCCGTCCCTAGATGATCTTCATTGCAGTTTATAAGGGAGCTGAGTCTTTTTAAAGGGAGAAGACCAGCTGTCTAGAGATGCCTGTGTGTCAGTGACCTTTCTCGCTGTATATGACTTCTAACTAGTACTTGTAGATTCTGGAACTCTTTAGGATGTTTCAGAAAAAGAACTGCCATTTGTTACCAGCATCATTAAAGAGATCCTGGGTACTAGGAACTCTAGGTCACCCTTCATCCCTAATGCAAAGGAGAACTTTTGTTACTAATCAGGAAAAAACAGAACATGTAAATTATTATTATGGAAGATCCAGCACAGCACACGTAGACAAATCTGACAGGAGCAGTCCACACAACTGCTCAGTTGGGACTGCATCAGGAGGCTCATTGACTCAGTGGGAGGAGAAGAGAGAGAACAAAGCTTATTTTCATAGATCTGTGTCTTTCTTCCTTCCTGCAAATAATTTAGTATTTTCCACAATTTATTTGCCAACATCCAGTTTCAGACACTCTCTTCTTCTTTTGCTGTTTACCAAGAAAACTTTCACAAGATTCAAGCTACAATTCTCAGATTTTTTTAATTCATTGCTAAAGATGACATGCCTCAGCTCCTCTGAGGTATCCCCAACTCCACACCCTACTGTCCAGCCACTTAACTGCCATATCACCCTATTGTTACTCTATCCTTTCTGTCCCACCATTTCACCAGACTTGATGTATTGAGTGGGTGAATGCTTTAGATCTGGGCCTCACTTGTGTCTGCACTGTGTGAACACTGAGTGTGTGAAAACATGATCTCTCCCTTCTGACAGCCTGTCTGTTGGAGACTGCAGCGCCCTCAGATCTTCTGGAAGAGCTGCTCATACACATTCTCCCACATCAGATCAGGGACAGTGAGCAAGGTTAGCAAAGATAAGCTGAAATGCTAAAGCTACCCCAACTTATTCTGACTAGAGCAGGTCAGGGAGTGCCTTGTTAGTGGATCTGAAGGGAAATAAGGACAAAAAGCAGCCAGGACAGGCTGTCCATGGTAACTTCTTCTCCAGGCACAACTAAATCCAGAAAAGGACATCTGTCCACAGCCTGTGACATTGAAAATAAATGGTGGAATAGTAAAAATAATTAGTACCATTCAGGAGCAGTGGTCAAACACAGCAGGCAGCTGCAAATGTATCTGCAATATGTAATTTGAATGTATCTTTCATTTTAAAAAGGAGAAGTTTTGCCAAATACCGTGTTAAGTAATGTAATTTGACAAGTCCCTGTTAAAATCCATCTAGACATATGACATTCTAAACCAACTATTCTGTGAATTCTACAGGCTCTACACTAAATATCTCAGTTTCTAATACAGGACCCCTGGAAGGAAGGAGAAACAGTGCTGCATGGCTCCCCTGCATATATGCTGCCTGCAAAGTGTTAGAAAGTGGATCCTCCAAAGCACCACAGTGTTTTCAGAGCAGAGGTCCCTCAGCATTCCAAAACAGACTATATTGGAAAAATCCTCCTGTTAGCTGGAATTGTGAACACACACATATGCACACAGTCTCATCTCCAACCCAAACACACATGTGGTTAAAATCTCTTGGTATTTACATAAGTGTATTCATTTTGGCATTTTCCATGTAAACACAAACCCTTCAAAAAATTCTTATAGGCTCTTTGGGCTTATAACATACACATGTGAATCAGAAGAATGATTTCCAAAAACTGAAAGAAAGTGTCTGAGTATAGTGGTACACTGCAAACAGGAAACATACAAATTGGGTTTGTGGATATCCATAAGAGCTTGTGCAAGTACATCCTATAAGTCCTTTTAAATACAATTAATACCTGAAGAACTCACTGTAGGAAATATACTTCGCTTCTCCGTTTTGCTTGGAAGTTTAAGTCTACAATGGTTGGAGAAAAGAGTTGAGCCTAGTAACCTCTACATCCTTTCCCAGCAGATGCAAAGGCAACAATGGCTCCTGGAACTGAAAGCACATATGCACAGCACTTGGAGATAGCACTTGGGGCTTGCCTGCAGCCTGGGAGCACACAACACAGGGCGCGTGGGGCAGCAGACACAAAAGGATGAGCCTCCTGCAATGGTGTCTGAGCCCCATCACAGAATGGGAACAGTGTTCTCTGTAACAGTTATCTTTGAAAATCAGTACGTGCAAGGCACTTTGTTACCACCAGTCATGCCTAAGATTAATAGTGCAGCACCGAGCTGTTCTCCTCAAACACTTTTCTAATGAGTCTAGTACTTCTAGGTAGGGTAAAGTTCTCATTAGGTCTCAAGGACCTTCACAAGCAAAACTTCCTCAAAGATACTGCTTCAAGGCCCGGGCCTGCATCTTTTGATCCAATTCCTTGGCTCTTTCTCCCCTCTAACTTCGGCACACTTTGTGTTTGTTTTACTGCATGCTGTGGCACCTGTTGCCATGGCAGCACTGCACAGAAGGCAGCAGCCTGGCAAAACTTCCCAGAGCCTTCCCAGCGGCTGCAATTAAACCTGCCCGCTCCACTTGTGCAGAGGGAAGTCTTGTGCTTTGGATTTCTCTGCTGTTAGGAGACAAAGAGGACTCAGCAGAGCAGACCGCTTTTAGCTATTTATTTTTAGCATTGCAGTGATACCAGAAACATGGAAGTAAACAGAGGTTGTCAGGCTGTTGTAAATAGCATAGGATTAAACCCATGACACCGAGGAACCCACGGGCTAGGGCGGGTTACTAAGGGTATATTTAACTCTAATTTTTAGTCTGCTTGGTTGCAAATATTTATGGAAATTACTATTGTGTCTTAATTTACCACATTTCAACATTTTCCCATTTCATGCCCCTGCGTTCCGAAAGCCCCTGTGTGCGGGCGCTACCGCCCTCTGCTGGACACGCCAGGCGGCGGCCGCGTCCCGGGGCGCTCATGGAACGGGATGCGCTGCGGCCGCTTTTAGCAACCGGAGGGGGAAGTTCTGATCTCTGCTCCGAATATAAACCTGATCCTGCATGCCCACTACTAGACATTGAAAATTTTCAGCTTCGACCAACCGCAACCCGACCCGAGGGCCCGAAGTGGTTCCCAGAAAGAAGTCGGTGCTGGCAGAGCGAGGGGCGCTGCTGCTGCTGCTGCTGCAGAGCCATGATGTGAACACTGATTTACACTGATTTCAGCTCTGTGGAATTAGTATCTGGGAGGAGGGCAGCGTCACGGCTGCAACAGTAATCTCTTCCTTCACACAACCACATTTAACACTGCAAAAAAGTTACAACTGGTGATTTAACTGCAAGTAATAACTTCTTTGTTTTATAAGACTGCCTGAAGGCCTCTGGTCACGATGCCCAAGCCATAAACAAACACTTCAAGGCAGTTCCTCGGTGCACAACAGCTCAGCAAACTGTTCAGGCAGCAATGAATGCAACAAACACACCAAGAACTGGGAAGGAAGGAAGGAAGAGGGTTACAGTGATTAAGAACTGTAGCTATGGAGAGCCAGGGACAACGTCAGTGACACCCTTGCCCTTCACATATACTTCAGCATAAAAAGTCAAGGGCAACATCTCGGCCATGAAGGCTGCAGAGGGGTTAAGATTTCTTATGAATAGAAGAACAGAAGACAGCAAGAGGAGAGTCTGGGGGAACTGGAGTTGTTTATTCTGGAGAAAAGGAGGCTGAGGAGAGACCTTTTCACTCTCTACAGCTACCTGAAATGAAGCTGCAGCGAGGTGGGGATGGTGACTTCTCCCAACTCACAAGTGACAGAACAAGAGGAAGGGGACTCAAGTTGTGCTAGGGGAAGTTTAGAGTGGGTATTAGAAGAAACTTCTTCACTGGAGGGGTTATCAAACACTGAAACAGGCTACCCAGCGAGGTGGTTGAATCACCATCCCTGGAGGTATTTCAAAGACATGTGCTTAGAGACATGATTTAGCACTTGTCTTAGCAGTTAGGTTAGTGGCTGGACTCAATGATCTTAAAGGTCTTTTCCAACCCAAACCATCCTATGGTTCTAATTGCCTGCTATCCAATGTCAGACTCAGCAATTAGTAACAGAAAAGGACATTTATATAGTTGCATTTTTAAACAAAAGTATTCGAGAAACATCCCAAGCAGACTGAAACTAAGGCAAACCTACTCATCTCCATATTACATCTCTTTGCTCTCCTCTCTTGGTTTTCCCACTTAGAGCACATCTGAGAACAGTCTTCCTGAACAGCACCAGAAATACTTCTGTTCAGGAAAACTAAGGCTCAGCTTTGTTAATATTTACTAGTTTGCATATTAATATTTGCTAATGAATGTAAGGGTAAATGAAGGATTCTCCCAATGAACTGAAATATATTAACTTTCAAGTTTGATATGAAAACCAAGCTTTAAGACATCACAGATCAAGAAGCAATGGAGAGTAGGACAAGAAGTAAGAATATATATTAATAAGGTTCTATAGAGCCCCATAAGGAAGTGGACAGAATTACCAAATAGAGAACATCTTAATATCTACTCTGTATGGTTGTCCGAAAATAAAAAATAAAAATAACATCAAATTGACTATAGTGAACCTCATTTCCAGCTCACAGATGATTGTATACTTACTGGGCTGCTATCTTAATGTACTTCTTTAACAGCTGAACACGCTTGCTGAGTTGAGAGCAAAGACAAATCTCAGTGACCACCCAGAACTGAATTTCATTAAATCTTCTTAAAAACAAGTCCAGATTTGCTGTGGTCTTTTTAAAATTGTGCCTTCCAAAAGTGTGATAGATCAATTCCAGCTAGAAAAAAGAAAACAATTTGGGATTTTTTTCTGGAATGTCATCTCTTGGACAGAGGAAGGAGGCTAAGAATGACCAGGTAAGTTTCTAGCCTGAAACTTGCTCTGCGGTTTACGATTATTGCTGTATGGATGACAAGGATTCAGGTTGCAAATCCAGTAGACAATAGCTGAAGCATACTAAAAGTGTAACTAGAGATTATGTATAAATAATACAAATATCTTAAAACATACAGAAGTAATTCAAGAAGAGTCACATATTCAGAAATTTTTTTTGCATTTTGCCTATAAAATTAAGATTTCAAAACCTGAAGGTGTTTTTATTCAGTATTTTTGAAAATCAAGCTTAGAGAAAGATTTGCAAATAATGCATAAATCTGCAATGTACAGCTAAACATTTTCTAACAGATTCTAATCTGCTGAATAGACAGACTCTCATACCTCATGCACACAGTTGAAGAGCTCCCAGTCATAGATTGTCATCTGATGTGCTAAGTCTTTGGAGCTCATCAGTTCAAATGTTCCTACTGTACCAGTAGATGGTCCTTCTTGTTCTGGTAATGGTGCCTACAAATGGAAAAATGGTATAAAAATATTTTAGAAATACTAAGTTGCATGAATGGTGCTTTTCTGCCATAATGTTTCTGACTTTCCTTTCCCGTGTGACCACTTTCCTGAGCACGTTTGCAACAGTAACACTGAAATTTGCTTTTAACCCCAAGCTAACATTAGGAATGAGAAGCCCTGTGCAAAATCAGAATCCAGTATGCACAGGATAGTAAGGGAAATTCTGAAAGCTTTTCAGAGACACTGTAAAGAAATAAACAAGACTGCTCTCAGTCGTTATTTTTAGCATTGTTCTAAAATCTGAAGCCAGAAACAAATACTTCAGTAAATGTTGTGCTAACTAAAGCATGGCTGTTTGTTTAGGAGCACAGTAGGTCTTTCCACTAAGCTTTTGTTATCAGTTTCCTTTTTCAAATACACAAATAACCAGACCACAAAGCACAAGCCAAATACTTTTGCAAATTACTTATTCTAATTTTGAGAATTATTACATCTGCCATACTTCAGAAATTTGCTGTGATTGCAAGATCTTCTGTCCATTTGTAAAATAAGCCTCTCTTTGACAGTACAGGGGTGTACTATTTGTGACTGAAAAAATCATGGATATGCTAATTAAAATTATATGCACACAGTCTTCTAAGATAAAATCTTTAAATCATTCAGGTACAAAGCATTTTTGAAAGACACTTCCATACCACCCAATAAATGAGATGTGATCTACAGTTTTACACCAAAGTAAATCTTTAAGATTTAAAGACAGATTTAAAACATGACTTGAGATCAAGTCAGATCTGAAGTGGTCTGTTGTATATATTAGGGTCAAAGTGTTTGAACCAGCGCTGCTAAAATACTAATAAAACAACCCTCTTGCAAATTCAAATGTGTTAAATCAGTAAAGCTTCCTGTGAAGCCAAGTTTTAATTCCTATATTTCCAGTAGAGGGCAGTAGAGTTCACATACAAGTGTCTCAATTTTTCATAGGGTCTTTGTTAGATAATTACAGAGCAAGGAATTGTCAACAGGCTCCTTTCTGAGTACAAACTCAATATAGTCTGCAAAATGAACAGGCTACATTTACATACTGCAATATAAAAAATGAGCTTACTAAATGAATACACTTTTATATAAGAATATTGTATTACCAATAGAAAAAGGACTGACTGGATTAATACATCAAATCACTCTCTCAATAACACACAGTATGTAGGAGCTTTATTTCTGTATGAGTTCTTGCTTTTTATTCTAGGGAAAACTTGGCTTTAAAATATCATCACCATATAAACTATTTAAAAATTATTAAACTAAACCTTAAAAGTTCCACCTACAATTTTTAAAAATGGTGTATATAAGCAAGGTATTATCTAAAAAAAATAATCAGGACAGCCATCAATCTTGGCATTTGAATTGGGATTTGTACAAACACAGAACCTCTTTAAGACAGAGTAGTGCAGAAAACCCTAAGTTGTGAAAATATGTGGAAAGAGAATTGCCCACAGCCTGAAAGACAGCTTTTTTCCCCTCTTTGGCGACAAACACAGCATAGCTGTTACCATAACAAACACATTTTCCAAGGCTAGGAAAGAAGCACTTAGATTGCCAAGTATAATGTGAATAAATACACATGCACAGGCAACAGCCAGAAATGATTCTATGGGAACGTGACAGGATAAACAGGTAGGCAGGTAAGGTTGTAACATTTTTCAATTTTTTTTATACCTCTCTGAAAAAATGCAGCTGATAAGATGATGTATTCTGTTATGCAGTGTTGAGAACACTTTTCAAGGTGCTGAGTGTTCCTCCCAAATTCCTACTGGTGTCAGCCCAGTTGATGAAAACTAGCACACTACAGCCCTGCATCTTATAGCTCCCTGAGCATTTTGAGCACTTGAGCCATGGTAAACAGCACAGGGGAAAAGGCACAGAAAGTCATGACAATTTGCTGCCATACAGAAATACCCATGATAGTTCTACTGATGCAACCCCCTGCTTTAGAACAGTATGCCCCATGAGGGTATCTCCTTATCAGGATTAATTAACCTTAAGGGAAGACCAGAACTTAATAAACTGAACAAGAGGTATCTCTGCATGGAACTACAATATGCTGGATGTGCATTCTCTAGTTACTAAATTGAAAGCAGCAGCAAAGCACAGATTTTACCATATCTATAAAAGAAATCAGGCACACACACTAAGTGGCTTGTTAAAAGCATACAGGAGGCTGAAACAAGGCTAGGAGTAATAGAGTTCATGCTGACATGACTTGGCAATGACATTTGTTTTTAATGAAATAAAAGGAACAAAAAGTACAGTCAAATCTAACTCTATAAAAGCAGACCCCATGGAGATTGTTAGAATTACTGTATTAACTGTAAGTACTTATGAACAATTCTGTGTAAGAAAAAACAGACTTTCTACCAGGAATCTTCTCTGTGATTCTACTTAGAATCATCTGAGATTTTTGAATAGTATTTTCTGTGGCTGAGAAATAAAAGATTTTAAGAAATGTACTGTTGGAATCATGTCTGCAGAATGGCTTAATTGCTAACATCTATCTTCAAGAATATATCCTGTGGCCTTGAGGAGATAATTCTGTAATCAGGAATTACTGCATGTCTTGGTGACAATATTCAGCTCTTCCTAAAGGCTCAGTGTGATGCAGAGAATACAGGGATCAAGTGTTGTCAAGTGGATGAGACAGATTTCTCTATAGTTTAGGAAATTTTAACATTACCTTGTTTTAATTTCAGGCCTCATCCCCATTCCACAGCACTGTGACAAGCCCTTTGTTTTGAATGTTTCCACTAGTTTTTACCTAAAGCATTGACAGTGCAAAAAGGGCCAAGTGTTCAAAGGAAACGGAAGGCTGCCTTTCCTGAAAACTGCATCCATACGTACCAATGAGTCAAACTGATCACGTGGGCAAGCAAACAGCCGTCCATTAACACTGAGAGTTGTAAACACTGAAACATCATGAGGTTTAAGCACAACCTTTTCTGTGAACATGAAAAAAAGACTGGTTATTATATATATCTGTAGAATTTACAGCAGGATCAATCCAACAGCTGCACAGATCTCCCTTCTGGGGACAAATTTTGCACAGTAAATGGATGTCTGTGATGCAAAACAGATGACCATGGAGTCTTCTTTATTGAAGAAATGTTACAACAAATTCAGCCCAAATCAGTCTCCTACAGAACTGGAATACAAAACTAGAATTGCAGCCCCAAACTGTACAGACAGGTCAAGAAGCTTGTGCTGCCACCTCTAGAAACTACCAGCAAAAATGCAGCCATAATGATGCACTCCATTCATTATTATCCAATCTGTGAGCATTTGGAGAGCTATTCTTAACAGAAATTGCCTTGGAAGACAGTAACTGCATAAGGAGTTGATGAAACCCAACTGTATTAAAATCTTATTACAGCAGTTGTAAAAGAGCATCACATCACAGGTAAAGCAGTAACTTACAAAGCATTCTCTTCCAGCATGCACTGGCTGTCAGCAAATCTGACAATAAAAAATTGCTGTAACTGCAAAAAGTAGAGTCTCCTGGCATCAGTCCTCAGGAAGTGAGGAGTTTTTGGCAGGCACCACTGTTTGCAAAAAAGCCTTCCAACACAGCTCTCATTAGCTCTGTGTGTCTCCACACAGCCATACTGAATTCACCTTGCAGTTACTCCCCCATTTCCACAGCCTATAGTGATTGTGACCCTGACTCCTGACCCTTTGTGAGCACCAGGTCAGTGGGCTTGGCACTGAGTTGCTCAGCAGGGTTTTGCATGGGCAGAGTGGCCAGAATGGTAGTGACCACTACTGCAATGTCTGCACTGCAGTGTTTTCTGCTGTTGTGGATTCTTTTGGTCTAGCTTGACATTATCCATGCTTGCCTTCTATTTCTGATGTTAAAAAACTCTTACAAGTCTTAAGTGGAGGAAAATTGGGGTAGCTCTGCTCCATGACATGCATATACACAAGCCTTTCCATTTTCCTGTCTCCCATGTGAGCTCCAGTCTGTGCCTGCAGCAGGGAAAGGACTTCCCTCTAAGATAGAACCTCCGTATCAGCCAAACATGCACATGGATATAAAAGCCGTGACTGAATTAGTCTTTCAAATCCTCCTGACGTTCTGCTTCACTGATAAAAGTGTTTAAGATGATGCAAGTACAGTACCTCCTCCTGAACTCATCTTCACTATGATGAGGCCTTCTCCAGAACTCAGCTTATCTGCCACTGCACTGATCACTTCCTTCACCGAGGAGGCCACTGGCACCCGGATAGTCGTATAGGTTTGGTCTATGCAGTACACCTTAAACAGAACTAAAGAGAAAAACATGGTGTTGTATACGCCACATGTAAAAAAACACAGAGACTTTACTGTACAAACTACTTGCACTTCACCAGCCACTCCTCACAAATTAAAGAAACTGCTGCAGTTTTGATAGCTCCCCACTCCTCAGATGTTCTACAATTTCTGGTACAGAAACTTCTGATTTCCCAGAGCTTTTAGTAAACCACGAAGTACTAGTGTTTCAGTATGGCTACATTACTTATGGATGCCAATTTAATCTAGCACTTTGTTATATTCCAGATATTATAATATTTTCAATCAACACTTCCTTTCAAGAGTCAGGAAAAAAGGCTGCAAAGTCTCTTAATTACAGGAAAATAATTTTCATATTTACAATATCAATTTTTGTTACAATCAGAACTTAAAGTGTGCTGCAACCTGTTTTTTTACAAGCATGTAATTGCTGAATCATCTTGTAGATGATGAAAAAAAATACCCTAACAATAAGAACACACTTGAGTGTACAGCACAAATTGTCTCAGCTGTAATACAGCTGTCTAGAAAACAATATGATAGCATATTAGCCTGCAAAAAGCAAGGCAGCCCAAAGTGACACAAATTTAAGACAGAAGAAGTTAGCAAAATACTCCCTTCAGCTCAGCTGTCAAGCTAAGCCAAGCAGCCCCAGGGGTTATAGTTGGCCATGGATGTTCTGTGTGCTGCCTGCCCTACGAGTAAGAAAGGTGCAGCCATTCAAAAGGGGCAGTTACTGCCTGTCCACACAGATGCAAGCAGTTCTTCCCTGGCAGCTGCAACTACTTTGTAGACCTAGAAGAAACATCGATAAGAACAACAGGAGCTGCTTGCCGTGCAGGATGTCTGCTGTTCATACAGTTACTTCCAGCTTTTGAAAATGCTCTCAACAGTGGTTTGATTTATGCCACTGGCTTTCTCAGCTATATGACCTTGCATTTTGTTCCCTTATTTTTACTGTTGTTCACTAGCAAGAGCTATCCTTTAATATCACACACCTTGATGCAGAAGCAATTTTCTGGGATGAAGATGCACCAAAACAACCACTGAGAAACTGGCCCTAGCAGTTGCGCAGAAATCCTCAGATTTGAGTTTTAAAGGGCATGTGTATTTGTTTAGAATTAACCGATCTCATCAGCAGAGCTCAGGCATAGCAGTGCTTTAACCTGCCTAAAGCAAAGGACAATCTGAAAAGCCAGTACAACCAAAAACTTTATTCTGATACACTGCTGTAAATTTTACTTAATAGCAATAGGGCAAACCAGCAGATTTTGTTATCTAGGCTGTGTGCCACAGAACAGGGATCCTCCCAAAGGAACAGCTGTACATGTTAGCTCAAACTACACAGAGGAGACAGAGGCTCAAACATGACCTTCAGCACCCATCATTAATTGCACTGCCGTTACCTGCATAGACACTGTCTGTACTGATTCTTACCTGTTTTGTTTGTTCCCTACTTTAAGACTTTTACAGATTCCTCTGAGGAAGCACAGTGTTTGATAGCACAAGTAACTATGGGAAAGACCAGGAGCACTTCAAATCAGTAATGGAGAATGTTGGGCTAGGAAAAGCAGACAGAGTTTGCTTCAAGCCAGGCTTCAAAACTGTAGTTATGTACTTCTATTTATTTTTAGATCTTTTTATTTTGAGAGGGACAAATTTACTCCAAATTTCAGTGGCTCAAGAAAACTTTGCAGAGAAGGAACTCACCTTCGTCACTGCCCCTGATAGGCTGGCGTTTCTGTGTCCTGTCATCACTTGTGTTGAATAGCTGCAGAAGAACTTTGTGCTGAAAGTGAATCATCAGGATTCGCATTAAAGCAAAAAGAAACATTACAGGGTAGACATGAAATACAAGAGATCACTTATCAGGAAAGGAGTAATGATGCAAAATTTGACACTTGATGATAAAAGCTAGCATTCAATGTGTTGTTTTAACATATCCATGATTACTAAATAGAAGGTGCTTATGAATTTCCTGTGCTAAAGCTTTTACTTTAGAAACTGGACAAATAAATTTATCGTACCTTCTTTTGAGGTGCTTTAGGTTCTTCAGAGCTATAAAAAGGCAAAGCATAGAGTATATAATTAAATAGTATCTGGAAGATTTTGTGTAGAAAATCACCTATAGAACATGGACTACTTGTCAAACTACACTATCAACATGCTTGTGTTTGCATATATGGAAAGACTAGATGATACCACAGTTCATCTATGACCCAGGCAGAGAAAACACTATATAGAGTCCATATAAGCATGAAATAAGTATCCAGTTTAGTTGGAATGAAGTGTACCTTATCCCTCCTCTCATGAGAGGGCGATAGACATTCATCCAAACAAGCTTGCATGCAAACATCCAGTCTTGTATGACTGAGTGCCACAATTTATAAGCAATACATTTTATTCATCCATTTACTGATAAAAAGGGTGCAGGGAGGAAAGAAGTAAAAATTATGCTTACACTTGCTTTACAATTTTCTCTAGCTCTGGAAGTTGCTCCTTTAGTGCTGCAATCATTCTAGTATCGTCTGATACAGATACATAGAATTCCTGTAAATGATACAGAAAAGTCTTTAAATAGCTGTAAGTGTAAATGAGCAGTACCCAGGATAGAGGATTAAGAGATGACATCTGATATCTTAATGATTATAAAGAATTATAATCTGCATAGAGGAACACATGCTGGGTCCAGCCCTCTATTACTTCTGCTTGTTTTATCTCCTGCTGATTTAAAGCAAGTGTTACACATGCAGAAGGGAAGCCTGATGAAGCTCCTTAGATCACTGTGTAACAACTGACTGCTTGGGAAAAACCTTCATTTTCAGATTATTAAGGATAAACACTATAAAATTCACAAATAATCTGGCATTATACTGGTGGGGGTTTTTACCCACTACTGTTGTAGTCCTTAATGGTTCACTCGCTAGTGAGTTGTTGACTCACAGCCACTCCAGTCTGCTGCACAAATACCCTCTTTGGAACCCTACTCAAACCTCTTCCTGGCACATCTATATAAAACTGACTCAAAGAAGGATCTATGTGCTTGCAACTAGTAATTGTCCTTAAATTCTGGACTGATGAAAGACTTTATGCCTGTCTTCAAAGCCTGTCTATTACACACAGCTTTGCCATGTGGATTTGCTTCTTATCTGTCATACTTAAGCCCCCTCTCTACTCCTCTTTGCTAATGCTCATCTTAGATTCAGTTTTAAGCTCTCTTGGGCAAGAATTTCATTCAGCCAGTAACATATGGGAATGTGCTTCATAAACACAATATATAATAACGCCAATCGCAACAACATGACATTGGCAGCACATCTTACCTTAGAAATGCAAGGATCTGGTACCCACCACAAAGACCTTATAACCAGTGTCTGAATAATTAAATTATTTTAAGGGATCAAATGGGTTCCGAAGACAAGGATCTTAAGTTCAAACTACTGCAGTATGGCTTTCATTCCAATAGAAATGATTTTTGGTTTTGTAGAGTGAGAACCCTCTTAGCTCTTTCTTAGCACATCTCAGGCAGGCATAAAGAGTCCCACTGTTGAACCTGTAGAACCTCTGAACTATCCACAAGAAAATACTAAAAAAAGCAAATTCATCCATTGCAATAAAGCAATCTACCCATGCAGGGCTTTGAAAGGGGTCTGCAACTCTGGCAGATATTTTCAAAGGTCCAGAGGCTGACAAAGGTTCAAGCACTGCTGTAGTGCATATGCTGTTTGCAGCTAAAACTGATAAAAGAGTTATGAGTTTGCACTTCGAAATGACCTACTTCTCTTTAGTTCATAACAGAATTCTACAGGCTGTGAACAGGCTTTCACCTTATCATGCTTGGTAGGTATTTTCAGTACAATTCCTTTATACCTCCAAAAAGGCCATTGCTGCTTCATCTTCTTGTAGTAAATCTCCATATAAAGCAGCCCACTGCAGAACCAGTCGAATGACTCTCCTTTTATTGTTGAGGGCATAATCCATTTTCTCCTGCTCTGTACCCTGGGAAGGCTGGGCATGATAGGTGCCATGGTGTCAAGGAAAATGCTCAGTGATTGAAAATATCAAAACAAGTACGAATTCACAAACAACTGACTTCCAACAAACCATTTTCAGGGTGTTCAAACATAACTTTCCAACATACACTTTTTATTTCTGACTGCCACTAGTATAAAGAATTGCAAACCATTCTCGTTCATAATAAAAAGTAAAAGACAGTGAATTCTCTAAAGAGCACAGGAATGATCACAGTCCCATCCCAGAGACAGTTGCTGTAGAGGAGCAGAACAGAAATGACACTTGGAACAAGAGAGAATAGGATTAATCATGGAGACTGAAGAAGGATATTTCTCCTTATTCTTCTTTGGAGACAGTTGAAGAAAAAGGAAAATGTCACTGTGTTTATTAACAATTCCAGTCTTCCATTTGTGAGGAAGACTACCAAAATGAGGCACCAGTGTTATTCTTTTTATTTTGAGAAGTTACTGTAACCCAAGGTGAACCTTAGTCCCACTATGGCAGGGGGACCGGGGAGTTTACAGCCTACAATGACTATAGAGACATGGAGTAAAATAATAAATTCCGTAGTAGCCTCAATTTACAGATGAGGAAATCAGAAGATTCCACTCTATCAAATAGAGCAGATGTGGGATACAATATTTGGTGACATTACTCTGTGATAAACAGTAAGAAAAACTAGGAAATATTTCACTGACCTTCTTCATGATGAAGTGACAACATAACAAAAATTTGCAAGTAACAAAAAGGCCAAAAGTAACACTTATTGAAAGGAAGAAAGCAAGAAAAAAGTAAAGGCACAAAGGGCAATAAACTGAGATAATTTCAGCCTTTAACCTATGCCAAAATGAAGAAGAATCCCCAGCAGAAACAGGATATGACAACTTGTGTGCCTACTTCTCAATGATCAGAGGTTAACGATACACATATATAAACTGTTTCCCAAGAAACTGATGGCTGAATGTGAAGTAAGCACAGAACAAGTACAGTTACATCTTCAACTTTTCTCCCCAGATACCAACATTCTGATTCTGTATTATCATGAATAATGCTATTCCCAGATATATAGCAATGTTTATTATTAAAATACTACACACTTGCACTCACACCAAAGTCCAGCATCCTTTCAAGGTGCACTTTCAGCTGCTCTAGCAAAAGATTTAAAAATATTAATTAGAAATTTTCACAATTACAATCAAAATTATCTAAGATATTTATTGTAAGCTTCTTATTTAGAAGCATTTCTCTGACATATACTAGAAAAAGATAATGAGAAAAAGTATCTATTAACTCACACTTTCCAAATGATCCTCCTGCCCAAAACCCCTGCAGAGATTTGACATGCTATCAGGGTTACTGGGGGGCTCATTTGACTGACAAACTTACAGAAATCTGGATTTTAATTTCATTCAGAAAGGTTTTTAATTACTCAAGAACTAAACACATCAGTACATTTATGGCAGTAAATAAGTCAAAGGGTCATAAGAAGTAAATAATACATTATAAACTATGTGCTCTAATGTCTCAGGGAGCAAGTTTAATATTCTACTGAGTCGTTTTTCTCATGCCATTTTTACCTTTCAAACACTGTAATTATTTAATGTATTTGTACTTTCTTATTAATTGACTCACCACAGGCACTGGTAATTTTTCTGTATTTTTACTGCTCATTTAAATTAATTGCTCTTTCATTAACATTATCACCGGCAAAGTCAATGAAGGGTTCTTCCATTTTTATGGGACCTACAGGATGCAGTTTCACTGCAGACTGCAAGCTGAAGTAAAATAGATATATTTGCAACAAGTCCTAGATAATTGTAAAATATTTATCAAGACCAAATTAGTTTGAATTCAGTATCTGTATTTCTAATTATGTCTAGCATATGCCAGGAAATGGAATCAATTCTGAAGTGTATTCTTCTCTGTGTGGAAACACTTAACCATATCAGAAGCTGTGCAAATTCAGCACCCATTACTACAGTACAACACGAACTATTTTGCTGGCATGATGGTAAAGGAGGTTCACAAAACATTGATACAGAAACATGCTAGAGGACTATCTTCTACAGAGAGCAGAAGAGGAGTTTCTTCTTCATAAGTATTTAATAAGAAAGTGGTCCTTTAAAGATGCACATCTGCACACATGCTCACACACTTGCACTATTCCACGTGTACTTTTGGAGGTGCCACTCTATTTCAAGTTTTCATTGAGACTTTGTCCTGCCTGCCTTTGACAAGCTGTAGTTCTGTGAATTTGTTGATCTCTGTGAAGCTGAGAGGGAAACAGGGGCCCGAGTTCAACACACAGGACTGATGTCCTGATCCAGGATTGGAGAGCATGCCTTTTGCTTCCCTATAAAAAAGAAGCATGCAATTTTTTTAATATTGCAGGATCAGTGTGCTTTTATGACTAAAAAAGAGTGTAGTGCCAAGGGACACCACAGTATAAGCACTAAATTCACAGCAAGCAATGTTGTTACTTAGCTAAAATGGTGTGCCTGTCCATTTCTTTCAGGATTAAAAAACTTAGAGATGACAAACCACTGCTGTAAAGGAAGTGAAAACCCAAATAATTTATACCCTGCACTATGCTTGAAAGCCCAACAGTGGTCTAGCTCTACTCAAACTTGCATGCTGCCAGCTAATACCCTAAGTGGGCGTTGGAAAATAGACTTGTATGATTCAAAATTGGGAGCTGGAGCTAAAACAGCATCCCTGACTGAATCACCTTTCTCTTTCTTCTTTTTCTGTTTTAATTTCATCACTGAGCATAACTAATCTCTCCTTAGTCTCACAGTAGCAGCTAACGTTTTTGTAGATTGATTTTGCTCAAAAAAGATGAGCTTTGTTAGCAACCTTTCAACTCTAACAATACATTTAAACCGTACAATCAACAGAGCACAGTTTGATTTTCCATATTCAAAATGGACCAAATAAACAATAATTCAGCTCTGAGAAAAGCTGACACTAAAGCAGTGGGATACCAGTTACTTCCAGCTTACCTCCTCCTCTCTGAAAAGAATTAGCATGATGCCTGCCATGACCCACTTATGGCCATGGACTTAGCCTGCCCTCCAGAATAGACTTCATCACAGTGAATATATATATACATAAGTGACACTATCACTTTGATCTTCAGACAAGCTTTTCCCCTATAAACAATGAAGTACATTTTGCTTCTGTGTCTGATCTTCCCAGTTATTTGATATCAGAGATACACTATTATAACTGAGGATAGACAAGCGTGAGACTCAAATGAACTGATTGAAAAATATGAGGTAGGTAAATCAGAAAAGGAAAAAAAAAGTCAGATGTAAAAAGTGTTGTCCTTCACTTCCCCTCTCAAAGCTGTCAGCAACAGCATTTCATAGTAATTTTGATATCCAAAACTATGTGGTTTTGGAAAATCTGTTTGTTTCAGGAGTATGAACAATTTTCTGTAGACCAGTTTTATGGGTCCAAAGGTTTCCAAAACAATTACTGTCCTTGCTACAAGTAACATAAATGGATTCTCAAGCTTGCCAGACAAGGACAGGATGCTCTATTTTGTGGTTTCAGGGTGTTAGCTTTCTCAGCTGTCACTCGCCCCACTAAGCTTCCAGGAAAGCACACTTTCACACCAATCTGATTCTAAAAAAATAAATAGGGAATTGAAGTTATTATACCCCTGTCAAAATTCTACAAATCAGAAAGTATTATATGTTTATTTAATGCTCCCAGTCACTTGATAGCTTCAAGTCATTGTGCACAAGGAAAATTCTCAGTGCCCAACAGCTCCCCAGGCTAAATGATCTGCCAGTAACTGCCTGATGGACATTTCACAGACTCCTGTAAAACCTGCAGAGAGTATGAGACTCACCTCCAGCTCTCAGTGCCATCTACTGTAAGCTTTCATCTCCTAGGTAGAATCACAGAATCATAGAATTGTTATGCTTGGAAGTGACCTTAAAGATCATCAAGTTCCAACCCCCCTGCTATAAGCAGGGAACCCTACCACTAGACCAGGTTGCACAAAACCTCATCCAACCTGGCCTTAAACACCTCCAGGAATGGGGCATCAATGACCTCCCTGGGCAAACAGTAGTCAAATGCAATGAAGTTTCTTGCAGTTTGTTAAAATTTGCTATAGGCTACTATTAGACTAATTTTTAAAAATAATAATAATTATTATAGCACCTAGGAACTCATTCTACCAGTTTAAGAACTCTTTTGCTTGAGGCAGTCAGCAGCTTGTAATATGTGAAATGGACCACTTTTCTGGTGGAGATACAGTACATTTCTTTCCCTTGGAATAGCAGTTAGCACAGGAAAGATACTGTTCTAATGGCCCATCAATTTCAGAGCTGTTAAGCTATGGGCAGCTGTTAGTCAGCCTAACCTACCCACAAGGCACAGTCCCCATGAACATGATGTACTTGAGAGGGAGAAGCTTCAGTCACGTCTCTGATAAGTAACAGCTGTTAAAGGGATGCAACTTTTCCTTTACAAAAGGATATTGTGCCATCAAGGCTGGGCAGAGCTGGCTATTTGGCATAAAAACACAGTGCATCATAATAAAATCATTTAAAACAGAATCTGTGAAAAGAGAAGAAACAGTCAATTAAGCCCCTGCAAACAGCTTGAGGATTACAAGGATGAGTTTCTATTTAGCTAAAATATCTTATTAGCCCTCTGCAGATAATAAAGGGGCCTTTTTACACTCCTAGTATGAAAATGGGGAATGAACAAGTTTGAGCTGAAATATTAAGCATTTATTCTCATCTACATTAATTTTATTGCACTTATGTTAACAGGCATTTGCCTCTGTCAAAGGGAAATTTGGCACAGCAAAAATTTAATTTTCCAGCACTCTGAGCTTCTATATGCTAAAAATAGCCTTCTTTGGCAATTGTGACATTTTGTACCCCATTATGACATAATCTTGTCATTGGATGTTTTGGAGAAAAGTTTTAAAAGATTTAAAAAATAATTTGTTCTAGAAAAATGTATAATACACACATACCAAGAATAGTAAACTTGTGATTATATACTTGCAGGCTTAAAGAACAATATTCAGCTTGTAATCCTAATTAACAGGTATCTATGAAAGGGATAATTTCTATTCTTAAAAATGGCTAAAACACACACTGTAAAAAGATTCCTGTAATCTTTCAATTCTTCCACAATTTATGGACCACTATACCATTTTTTCCAATACTGTGAGGTCAGTAGCAGACTAATGGGATTTAAGAAATCTCTGAATATATAATTCTTAGACATCTGCAATTTAAAAAGAGCCTGCTAAAGCAATTATGATACAGCTTAATATAAAATTCTCTGCATGGCTTTATCATAATTCAGAGGAATTTGTTGTGCCTGACTCTAAAAATTAAAATACTAAGTCAACAAATACCTATATCCCTAGATGTAAATTCTCTGTTCTCTTCACACTCATGCAAAGCAGCCTATTAAGTGCAGTTGCAGCAACCTGCATTCTTGGGACTTGGCCCATGGTACACTGAGTTCTTCTCTTTTGAGCAAATTCTTCTTTTCCTGCACATGGTAAAGTATCATGAACAAGTAATTTAAATTGTAATACTTTAAACGTGATACGGTTATGAAAATTTGAGAACACTTACACTAGCATAATGCACTGGCTGGAGGTATCATGCTAGTTCACAGTATTAAGTGACGTCCAGGACAAGAAGTACCATTGGGTACTTCCATTACCATTGGGTGCCAATGCATGCTCTGTCCTGGCCTTACAGTTCTGTCTAATTAGAGTAATGACTAGTGGTCTCGCACCTTTTGAGGTTTTGCTGTTTTAGACTTAATCAAAAGTATGAACACAATAGAGTGGGCTAGGAGGAACGGATTGTTATCTTTAATTCTGGATTTCCTAGGTTTTCTCAGGGTTTTTTCAGAGCCATGGATAGTTCTTTTTCTGCTTTTCAAAGCACCCCATTGCACCTTACGCACTAATAATAACACAGTCATTGTCATATGATACCTGTTGCTTCATTTAAAGTTGTTTCGGGGCGCATAGTTTCTAGAAAGTGCTCCAAAATTTTCTCTGGGGTTCCTGACATCACAGTATATCTGAGGGAGGAAAAAGAGCAGTTAGTGTCTCATAGGCAAAACAGCTAGTCAATAAAAAGTTGTGTACCAGTGAGAAGACGAAGACTGACAAGTGCCAGAGTACAAATACCTACTCTGACCAGAATCTCTGTGGAGCTTAGGACAAAACCACTGACAGTCTTAATTGGCTTCCCCTCTGTAAAATGGGACAGTAACTCTCTCCACATGACCCAGCAAGTGTGAGATGACAGGCAGCCCCCTCCCCATACAAGCACTCGAGTAGAACAGGACCACAGTTACACCACACCCAGCAGAGCAGCACTGCTGCAAACCTGGAGAGGTGCAAGCAGAAATGCTTCTTCACCAAGAATATCTCAGTGCTGATACAAATTCACAGCCATTAGAGGGTCTTAACAGCCTTACCATGAGAACTGGTGTGTATTGGTGTCAGAGCAAGGAAACACTTCCTTCAGCATCACTAACAGGAGTTAGTCTGAGAAGACAGGGGCAGATAATGAAATAGCACACTGTATCTTCACATTTGTGCTACGCCTTAGATAGTTGAAGTTTTTCAAGTGGATAAACTTAGGATTGTACCATTTCCTGGAGTAAATGTATGGAGGAGAGAACTACTGCAATAGTCAGGTTTTTCAGCCTCGTGCAAAACCACTGGCAAGATTTTAAGCACCAGCAGAATATCATAGGATACAGATAATGAAATAGCACACTGTATCTTCACATTTGTGCTACGCCTTAGATAGTTGAAGTTTTTCAAGTGGATAAACTTAGGATTGTACCATTTCCTGGAGTAAATGTATGGAGGAGAGAACTACTGCAATAGTCAGGTTTTTCAGCCTCGTGCAAAACCACTGGCAAGATTTTAAGCACCAGCAGAATATCATAGGATACTGCTAAACTTGTCCTGTCATCTTTTTTTTTTTCTTTCCTTGCAGATCAAATTTTTTTATCTTTCCCTCCATTCTTTCAATCTTTGCATTTTTTTTCTTTTTTTTTGGAATCCAACTGATAAAGTATGAAACCTAAAAAAGAAAGAAAGAAAAAACCCCGAGAAGTGAAGATACTCTGCTCCTGCTGAGAAATAAGTGGTGGAGCTGAGCTCCTGGGAGCTCCTCCTCACTTTGAGCACTGACCGTCACAGTTCTTTTGCCTGCCAACCTCTTTGGAAGAACTGTATTGATGTCCCAAGAACACAAACACTTGTTAAGCCAGTGCACATTCTCACAGAGATACTAACCAAGTATCTAAGTGAGTGAAGCAGAGAAATCACAGGTTGCCTGTCATCTTTTTTTTTTTCTTTCCTTGCAGATCAAATTTTTTTATCTTTCCCTCCATTCTTTCAATCTTTGCATTTTTTTTCTATTTTTTTTGGAATCCAACTGATAAAGTATGAAACCTAAAAAAGAAAGAAAGAAAAAACCCCGAGAAGTGAAGATACTCTGCTCCTGCTGAGAAATAAGTGGTGGAGCTGAGCTCCTGGGAGCTCCTCCTCACTTTGAGCACTGACCGTCACAGTTCTTTTGCCTGCCAACCTCTTTGGAAGAACTGTATTGATGTCCCAAGAACACAAACACTTGTTAAGCCAGTGCACATTCTCACAGAGATACTAACCAAGTATCTAAGTGAGTGAAGCAGAGAAATCACAGGTTGCTGTACTCTGAATATGAAAGTGAAAATGAACAGTGAAGTGACTGGCAGGGCTGCTGAATTTATCCTGCATGAGTGTGATCACCCATAAAGAGTTAGATCTTGAGAGTGAGAACTTCAGAGCTAGTCCTCCAAAGCAAAACTGTCACTGTTTGAAAGCACAGCTCGGGGAGCTCTGTAGGAACTATGCCTCCTCTGTAGATGAGGCAGTAGAATGCAAACTGCAGCTGAGAAGACCTGCTCCCAAAGTGTAGTTTTGCCCAAGATGAAGAAGAAGAACATTAGTCTACAGGTTGACTGGGTATCTCAGGAAACAACTTTGGGATGCAGAACACTCCTCAAGTGCAAATGCTATGTACCTGCTCAGGGAGCAAAGCCCAAAGGGCATATGTGAAATGTGTATACAAAAGACAAGAAATAGTTTATTTAGTCCTCCACAGATCTTTCCAAATTTTTATATTTGGTTATGCAGTTAAAACGGGTACATGAAATGCCAGATCAGATAAAGACTATACCCAAAATACCTCACAGTAAATTAGCCCTTCTTTAAGAAAACTAAGGTCCAGGGTAAAAGATGCAAAACTTCTTTGTGCTTATTTTGTTGGAGTTGTTTGAGTGTTTCTGAAGAAAATTGTGCATCCATTTGCAAATAACACATTCACAAAGACTTTAGGGGCTTTACCAACACTTGGAATGATAATAGCCTCACTCTACTCTTATCACAGTAGTAACCAAACAGAATTGTACTTTTTCCTTTTCAGTAAGAAAGTAAATAAAATATAACGAATATTGTTATTACAGTGCAAACCTATTCTGTAAGATAAGCTGTGCAACTTTCATTGCACAAGATCTTAATTTTGTACATAAATTGTACCTAGCAAACTCTTACTAGGATCCAGAACTCAAAATCCAAAATGAAAATATCTGTACTCAACAATAAAACAATGTATTTTCTTCACACCTTCTACAAAGTAGCTCAGCTTAGTAGGGTTTCAGCATTCTCCATGTGCAGTCTATTTAGAAGCTATTACAGGAAATAAGTATTTACAGTGAGAAATTATTGTGTAAAGACACAGAACTGGTGTGCTGCTGGAAATGGATATATTATCCAGTATGGGGCATGTCACCAGCTGATGATTAAAAAAACCAGAAAACTGCACTGAATTCTTCCATGGGAAGTGAGAATATGCTACTGTTTGGATAGCAATACCATATGAAAAGGTTAATAACTGTCTGACATTTGCACTATTGAATGAATACATACTTGTGCTGAGGCTGTGAATTTCCTTGATTAGAAACTCTGCTTCCTGCTGGGATCTTCTCCAACACCAAGACATCTTGGTCATGCTCTTTGAGTCTTACTGTATTTGCTTCCACATCCTGCAAGACAAGTTACTTTTAATACATTAATTGCACCCAACTTGGCTGATGAGTTACTTTGAAAAAGTTAATGACTTTCAAGCACAGAAGTCTCTGGGGTCAGTTCTTTTCCCCTGAGTTCATCTATCTTTATTCTGCTTTTCTCAAAGGCAGAATCAAGAGGAAAGCACTGGAACTCAGGAAAATTGTGGGAGGAACTAGAGCTAGAACCATGTGAAAAGTCTGGCTTTGACAAAGGAAAAAACATTTGCCAAAAAACAATTCTCCCCCAAAACTCTCCATATGTAAAGTAATCTCTATCCCCACTTATGTATGAACATTATTATTTATAATCAGACTTTTCTCTTTCAAAAATAAAAGATAATGGCACTTAGAAAAAGTCTTAGCTCAGTAAACTGTCAGTAAACTTTAAATTTTTAATTACCAGATCATAGTAGAAAAAGAAAGAAATAATTAAATATTATGTGCATTCAAATAGCAGAGATGAAAATCATTAAGCCTATGGACTTGGATTTTCAGTATAGATCAAAGCTAAATCAGTTGGGAGTCTCCATGGCTAACCCAACCTTCCTGCCAATAGGATCCACATTCCCTTTTGGTATAGGAAACAACACAATCTTAGGTTCTTTTTCTAGCACAGGACTCTGGACTGGTTGTATGGCTGCAATACTGCCATGTGTAAATCTGAACCAGGATCCTACTGGTTTTGACTTCCTACACTACAAATTATCAGAAAACATAAATACAGATTTACAGAACTACAACTTGACTTTGGAACACAGTTGCCCTAATGAGAATAACTGTAAAATTAGTCTGGGAATATCTTTCTAGGGCCCTCTGATAAAGACATTTGCGTATTTACCTGCATCTTATTTAATTTGCCACTTGATTCTGCCTTGAATCTATTGAGTTTAAGGTACCTGATCCTGACTGATCTGGGAGAACAGGTGATCTTGTACTCTTCAATATTTGGACAGAAGATCACCCAGAAATCCTGGACAGCGTAAGGAAAAAATTGAGCACTTGACAAATTCTAGACCACAGAAAAGTCAGAGACAAAAGATTCCATTTGGTCCCATTTTCATGGCTGAATTTGGAACACAAAAAGAGGAAGGATAATTAATAGATTCCTTATGTGATTTTCTAGACTGTCACATCTCTGTTCTGCAATTAGGGATGCTTCAAAAAAGGTTACTGGTATCAATATATCCATAGAAATAAAACAGACTGTAGAAAAATCTGCGTGTTCTGATATCATGCTGTCGGGATGGCCCTTCCCACTCTTACCCTAAGGATCCTGTTGAAGTCCTCCTTGTCTACCCTCAGAAAGTGGCAGTTGTCTTCACGCAGAACAATGGATGCTGCTCTGGGAGCATCATTCACAAGTGCTAACTTCCCAAAATCATCTCCTTCATGTAGAGTACATACCACACCCTGCACAGAGCAAAAACATTTACATGAAGAAATCCATAATTACTCTGGCTTCTATTGAAAGTCCTTGTACAAACACCAGACTTCACAATCAAATATCAAAACAAATCTATTTGGCAGGAAATCAACAGCCCAAATAATGACTAGGAAACAATACTTGATAGCTAGTTATTACCATTACTGAAGAAAGCCAAGAATAGAAAAGAATTGGCTTGTTGTCTGAAATTACATCCAGCTTGAAGGACTCTTCTAGCACTACTGAAGACAGAAAGTTGTTGACTTGTTTGTATTTTATTTATAGAAGCCCTAAAAATCAGATTGAGTTTGCAGAAATAACATGTAACACCAAATCCTCAGCTGGTGTAAATCAGCAGTGCTCTATTTACTCCAATGTATAGTTACAGAAGTCAGGCCCACCCAGTCATATAAAATATGTAGATAAATATTGAGGCACTAGGGCCTCAATGCTAGATTTTGGTAAAATGCCTGGCGTTCAGAATAGAAGATTCTTAGTCAGTGAATGAGAAATCAATAGGCAAGCAGGGATTTTTAAAGACTCAAGGAATTGCTGTTTTTACCAGCGTCTTGTTTGTTAAAAATCTTTCTTGTAAACAGGATATTTAATAGAGATGCTATAGCTTAACTAAAATGAAGAGCTGGCATAAATCGGGAAGAGGTTCATCCAATTTGAGAACCACTAGTTACAAAGCAGCACTTCTGTCAGACATGCCTGAGAAAAGTTAGTAATACTAATGCAAGAAAACATAGTGGTAAAGGGACAGGGCAAACACCCCCATGAGACAGAAGTCTGGCAATTCACCACAATCCAGCAAATTATTTTGTCCTGGTGACTTTGTTACTGGTGTAAAAATGTTGCTGAATTATGTTCAGAAAGTGTGATATATCCTAAAATTAGACAACAATGAACTCAAAATATAATCAGTGAAACCACTGGATCATTTCTTAATAAAATTACCTTCAATTTGTTTCCTCAGACAAAGCCATTCTTCTTTAAAATAAATTGCACTCCCTCAAAGTTTACTCTTACAATTTCAATAATAAGAATAAGATAAAAAAACTTCTGAAAAAAATACCTTGCCATAAATGACTACATTTACTGATCCCTTTAGGATAATGTACCAAGAAGTACCTTCTTCTCCCTGATTAAATACTGCAAGAGAGAGAAAAGATTTTATGGTGAGAATGTAGTTATTAAAAATATATGGCCAGATTCTGTACTCAATAAAATTCAAGTGACTCCACCACAACCATATTAATGTCTAACTTGAAAAAGGGCACACTATGATTTTAAAAGCAATTGCCTTCAGGTTTTAGGAAAAAAACCCCACACCCATATAGTAGTTATTTTATTACACTGATGTGAAAGTAGTTTTATTTTCTGTGAGAACTTCAGCAACAACTTTATAGATATGTGTCAGGTTATCAGTTACTAATCAGCACACAAATTTGAATCCCATCAGCAGCAACATTTCTAACTCAAATCTCTAGTGGCTATGAATTTGACATTAATTTGCTAAATCTTCTCAATATAAAAAGGTCTGAGTAATCTAACATTTTAAATCCTTTACTTTGTCCAGCATTTTTTTTAAATACCAGGATAATATTAAAGAACATTTTAAATAGAGATTGGTCCATCCAACTCAAAATTCTGCATGAAAACACCCCTAAGTTCTAAGTGATACATGCACCCAATAATTAATGTTGGCACTGTTCCTGCACCTGGCAACAGATTAAGCCAACACCTATTACCCCAGGATTTAAACACTGACTGGCAGTCAAGTTTTGCTCTTGTCATTTAAACATTAAGAGTTTAAATGTGCATGCCAAAGATTAGAAAGATCTGACAGGACTCAATTTACTTACAGACCGTTCCTGCTTTGGGATGTGACTCAAAAATCAGGACACCTGCTAATTCTCGCTTTACCTTAAAATAAAGAGAGAGAAATTACAGGTTTTTTTGTTTATATCTATCTATCTACCTATCCATCCATCTACCTATCCATCCATCCATCCATCTATCCATCCATCCATCTATCTATCCATCCATCTTATTCTTCATGGTGAAAGGAAGTCACATTCTGCCCCAGTTGCTGCTTTCCTTCCCTCTAAATCATTGAGCACTTATTCAGAGTCACACAGCCAGACAATGGTCTGCTTCACTTCATGCCCTATTTTCTACTGACTGGTTTTACAGAACATGGCTTCAAATGTCTTAGGGCATCTTTAAGACACAGGTCTCTACATCTTTCTTCATATGCACACATGTGAAAGCATCAATAAGAATTAACATTCCTGTTAATTTCTGTCATTTCCGGATCTTACTGAAGTCTTTTTAAAATACTTTTTTCCTACATCTCAGAGATGTTTAAGGATTTTGGCTGGCTGTTCCCTCCTAACTCAGTTACAAACTTTTGATGTATATTCTTTTTTAAAAGCATTCCTTAGGTGGTGTGATTCCATGGAGTACTATCTTTCTGTAATGCAGCTTCATAATTAGATGCATCAATCCAGCTTAGCTGACAATTATGGAAAATACCAAGAGCTTCCAAAGAAGCTATAAATCAAACATAAATTTACTTTCTGACCCCTTTCCTTTTCCTGAAAGTACCCACATCTTGCTGCAACCAAAATACAGTGCTAACTAGCTTATTTCAGGTGCCTACACAGTGTGTCAATGATGGTAAGACTTTAAATAGTTGCATTCTCTCCTCCAAGAACCTTCTCCATTTATTCTTGGGATTTTGCACTGTTCTTGCCCACTCAGAGAGAAGATGTCTGATGAGGTTTCCTTCACTTAGTGATGGAACTCTAAGCAGGCAGTATTGCACAGTACACCCCTCTGCACTGTGCAATTCCTCCTCCTAACTGGTTTAAGGCAACACTTCTTACAGCTCAGAAATCAGACATCTATTCTGTAAAATTCAGTAGTGCCACAGTCTTAGGTGTCAGGTGAGACTGCACGTATCTTAACTTAAATTCAGATATAGGCCCAGACACTCTGCCAAGTGAGTTAGGGTCTGTGCAGAAACACATGAAGAGAAACATATCTGATACTCAAAAGACAACCTACATCTGCATAGTTCTTGGGTAGTCCCTCAGACGTGGGAATAACTTCTTTGCATGGGAAGTGTAAACTGGAAAGGGTTGTAGGCACTCAAATTCTAGTAACACAGCAGAAGTAAAAATTCAACCTCCTTTTTGGTGATGACTTATACCATTTTAAATACTTACTGTGGTAGAAAGATGAGATAAGGCCTTAATGTGAAGGAGTTCTTCATATATAATTTCTAAGTCATCTACAGTTCTCTGGCCGGGCCTATAGAGAGAAGAGAAAAGGACAGCAACATGCAATAAATTCCCAAAAGAAATGCTTCAGAGCAGTACAAAACAACACAAAATGCTGTTGCACTGTCTACTGAAGGGTACACCTCACTTAAGAGGGACTGAACGATGGTTCTGGCTGAAGGACTGAAACACATAAAGGATGGGAGCACTATGAAACCACCTGAATAACACCAAGCAGCAGCCATGGCAACCACCTTAGAGAGGTCCTGATTAGCCAGCTTTCCTGATGAAGTGTCCTATATGTAATATGGTCAGATAAATCAACAATGGCAGGTGAAGACTCCTTTCAAAAGGACTCCTGAGTCAGGGACTTGCACTATTTTTCTCATGTGGAACTAACTTGTTGTAGCAAAGAGACAATAACAGTGGTTTGTAAAGGAGTGCATGAATTTCTGCTGAACAGATTAGAAGCAGCAGCATCCTGGAGGACAGTAAATGATGGCCACAGAGCTAATGCTGAGTGCTGTTGTTTAGCCAAAGGTAAGAACGAACCACTCAGTAGTTTCAACCTCTCTCATTAAAAAATACAAGAAGCTGCTATTAATAAAAAGCATGCATTGATGAAGGAATTATCCTCCTATAGCACAGTGAGGAATGAGGCTGCCACTATGACTGAAATAACTGTATTTCTGTAGTCTGTACACTGGAAAGGTTTCTGATTGCTGAAAAAGGACCAAAATACTCCAAGGACTGCAGTGTGTCAGAGATGCTTTGCAGTATCAAATGAACAGTACCCATGCGAAGGAGCTGTAGGAGCTTATGAATAACTCCTAGTCATTCTCCCACACAAGATTCTCTTCAGTTAAAGTGTCTGATACAACTTTATTTTTTAAAAAGACAAATTCTGCCATACTACAATTTCAGACAATGCACTGGAGTTACACACACACACACACACAAAATAATCTTTAAAGCAGCATCCCAAGTTTCTTTTATAGGACCAAGTTCTTTCAAACAATGTTTTATATTTGGGAAAAGCAGAGTATAAGAACTAAATCAATGGGCCAAGAACAGACAAAATGAGCAACCTAGTGATACCAAGAGAAGACAAATTTAAGATGTGAGGAAATGAGATATGTCAAGTCAAGTCCAGGGACAGGAGTTTCAAAGGAGGAAGTTTACATGCTCACATTAAGAACAGGCTAGTAGATAACATAGTTCCAAACCCCACTGCCTGCAATCTGTGGCGTTAAAAGAATTTACAGTACATGTGAATCTTTGGACAGCTCGAAAAGAAATGTCACAATCAACCTTTCTGATAGAAGTTCACCTCCTAAATTGTAATATAACAGGAGATTCTAGTGTCTAGAGGGTATCCGGAAAGTCACATAAGGAAATACAGAGCTCTACAGGTTTTGTCTAATCACCTCTTGGTTCAACAGTCTATCTAAATCATGTGTGAGGTAGAGGGAGTGCACAGCAATCTGTCACATTGCATCCTTCTGCAAAAGAAGCTTGATGGAGACTTCTTTTAGATGAAGGAAGTACTGAAGAAATCATGGTAAATGTAAGGACAACTGACATCTTGTCTGCTAAGCAATGTGTATCTTTCATCCATTCTTCATTTACCACTGATGTGCATTTAGTATTATCCAGATTGAAGACCCATTTAGACAGAAAATATTCTGGATTAAATTACTCTCTTCTCATGGAATGGAATGAACTGTTAAGGAAGAAACAGAAACTTGTTTGATGTTACTGTGCCCTCTAGTGACTCAAATCACACTTTACTATTTGTAAATCTGGCTTGAAATTTTAAGGCTGCCACTCCTACTGATGGATGTAGGGCAGTAGCAGTGCAGAATAAAGCTAAGCCAGAACTAGCTACCTTTTAGTGAAGATTTAGGAAACACAAGGTAAGGATCTTAAAAAATGCTGCTTCCCTTTGGAATGACAACTAATTTTACCACATGCTTGCAAAACCAACATGTCTTGGAAAAGAGAAAACAAAATATAACAAATTAACAAAGTGCTACATTAAACTAAAATATAAAAGGATGTGTGTTACTACATCAGTTTGCTGTCTACACAAAAGTGTACACTCTTCTTTCAGTATGTCCATTTGCCTCCTGTGTTAGCACACTAGGAGGACTGACAATCCATACCCAGTCTTCACTTCTGCTTCTGCAGATGTCATGTGGAGAGATATTAGGCATCACTGCTTCTGTAAAACCAGTGTGGTGACCCACTGACGTTGATTTGTAGGATCCTGCTGTGTAAAGACCTAGTTTCTGCAGGGGACACATTCTAACAGCAATAGCTGGTTATAGACAGGATAATAAATGGAATAGGTAGAGAAAGAGGCTACACACTAATGGACAGGAGAACTCAGGTGATATTAAGTGATCAATAAAAACTGTTCCGCTTTTGGAGAATTTATCAAGGTCAGAGACATTGAGCTTCTCTGTGACTAGGGTGTTGACAATAACATAGTACTTTGTCAATGATAAACCATGTACATGGAAGCAATATCATTGATTATTTTTATTACACAGCTAACCAGAAAATTCTCAGATAATAAGAAGGGAAAAGATCAGAGACCTCATAACACTGTGATTATATGTCAGATAAGCATATATTTTCAAAGTAAAAATTTTGTCTTCAAGTCATGTAAAGAATATATAGGAGGCACGAATAATTTTTCCCATTACTTGTGTCTGACGGTGTGAAAGTGAATGCATGAACACTTACCCTAACATGGAAGCTAAATACCTAATTTTTGTACTTGAGACAGTGCTCCTTGATTAACTCCAGAAATACTATTTATCATATATAATACCTGTAAATGTCTGTGAACTGATATGTGGAAAGATAATCTGTATTTCCTGTCCTAGGAATAACATTTGGTTTATTACATGTCATTGGCAGGAATCTCCAGCAAGGACTATGGAACTTGATAACAGCCTTTATGGAGAAATCCAATATGGTTATTTCTACTAACAGCTGGGTGGAATATCTAAATACAAGTAATTAAAAACAAGATAATAAATATGCCTTGCTTAATTTTTTATAAGACCTTCAAGAAGCTATAGATTCTTAGCAATAATTAAATTGGTTTTTGTTTGGGTTTTTTTGGCGCTGTTTACCATGTTTAGATTTATCTTCACTTCCTCTCCCCTAGCATCCTGTTGAGCTTACTTTTGCAAGTGATACTAAGACGTGATTACTGATGACATGTAGAATCAAACACTTTGTACTCAAAAAAAATCTGAGAAGTCACCAAGAATATATAACACAGATTTATTGTTTCAGTCATATTGCTAACCTACTGTAGCCTAGAGTATTAGAAAAGGATATAATCCATAACATAATCTGAGTTAAATAGCATTGTCTGATGATTATCATTCTCCCTTTAAAGACTCCTGTTATTATTGTGTTTAGCTTTGTATTACAGCACCTTACTTAATTAGGGTTTACCATCAAGTTAGCTGTACCTGAACACCATGAAAAAAAACAAAACAAACCTGAAAAATCTTTTCAGGATGTATTTTCATACTGAAGGATTGAAACACTGGTAAGGAAGAGCTGTGTTAATGCCGTAATGTTTTTTCCAGGGACTTGCTCAAGGTCTGCACCTGTGCTCCAGGCATTACAAGGAGCAGAGAGCTATGTTTGCCACTTCACAAAAAGCTATTTTCACATTCACAGTGGATGTGTTTCGAAATAAGAAAAACCACCCAATAGCAACATGAGCCTGCCAAAAATTTCCCTGAGCTCTATTCTGTTTTTTAAACTATAGAACATTCTTTCACAGTTTGACAGTTAAAATGCTGCAGTTAATGTAATAAACAGAGAATTTTTTAAGTCGGCTGTCAAAACAAGTGACAGTTTTTGCTAGAGATTTTCAGATTTTTAACAATAGAAAGTACCTTTCAAAGAGACAGCTTCATTATACAATCAAAGTCTCAAAGTAATCTTCTCATCAAAGAATATTGTCTTATTTCTTTCAGGGTAATTATCTGAGTTCTGCAACCTCTCCAGAAATGGTGACTATTTTAGAATGCAGCTGTGTTGTTTTGAAAATTGAGGGTCCTGCTCAGGGCAGCTAAAGCCAGTGTCTCTGAAGCTCTGAAAATTCCTTGAACTTTTGGCAGCTGTAACAGTGTATAGTCAAAACTACCAGGACTCTGAGTATTCATGGAGATTTTAAAAAGCTTTGATATAGCACAGCCCAGGGTGGATTTTCAGCAAAATCATAATGCATGTAAACTGAATACTAGAACAGCAGTTAATATGATGTCTGACAGCACAAGCTTGTTTCCATGAGCAAAGGGCAGCTAAAATAAGCACTTTAAGGGATAGGGCTAGGGAAAGATGTCAGATGGCTGTCAGTCTTGAGAAAACCTCTTTCAGCTCACTATACTGCATGAATAACCTTCTATGAATATTCTTTCAGTTGATGCTGTGCAAGTGACGACACAGAGGGGAGAACAGTACTTTCCACAACATCATTCCAGCCTTTCAGCTCTCTGCAAGGAATGTGGATGATGATCAAAATTTATCATGCCAGGGTAAACTTGCACCAGCTGCTCTAAAAGTCACGATGAAAAGCAGATGTAGGAGGCAGCCAAAAACTGTGATAACATAAGGGGCCAGTTCACCAAGAGCCAACCTGCTCAGTCAGCCTGAGGCAAAGGGGATGGTGCAGAGGTTCATGGTCACAGCACACATAGCACTGCTCCCATTCTTTTAAAGACAGGCTTCTGCTCCTGGGCAGAACCCCTTTTCTGTTCCTCAATGGTGAATGCACATGACATCTCTGTGAGCAGAAAACTCATCAATTCCCTGACTCCATAAGTGTTTACGGAAGCACCACGCGCCCAGACTGGTTTGTCTATGTATTTTGTGTGATACAGAGTGAGTGCTCCCTTGGTGGTGTTTGACCAGACTTCTAATAAACAGAGGAAAGAGAATTTATACTTGTAAAACTATTGCTGCACGACAGTGTTACCTATTTTTATAAGCACTTTTTGAAATTCAATGCTTTCACCACATTTTTGGAAAAGTGCCATCTAAATGAACTTAATGATCTAAACAGATAACACAGGGACAAGAATGGAGCAGGGAAAGGACAGAAGCAGCACAGGAGAAAGCACTTAGACGTACTTGAAACACTTTTAGTATTAAAAGTGTTCTCACACTGTAGGCAGGGCCCAATCCTATCTTATAACAAACTTTTCCTATGGCCTCAAAAGATCCAGCTTTGCGTACTTGTTTTTCTTGAACTGACCCTTACAAGTAAATCTTCAGTGAAGATGACCATAAGTAATCATTATTCTCAGTGTGCATAATTAGCAGTAAAGTGTATCTTCAGTGGTCCCTAAACACTACCTGCATAATGAAGATGTTGCCTTCAATGGAGGGTCAAACAGAGTTTATACTGGTTGCTTTGAAGTCACTATAAAACTGTCTGTAAAAAAAGGCCTTTAGCACAGTTTTCAGTGTGACCAGAACATAGTACTGAACGGATGGTTAGCCAGCTGATGAGTGAGAGGACATGATCTGATTAGCTGTGAAAAGGTTAGGCTGACATCCTCTGTGGCCTAGGTACAGAGAGCACATTTTATTAATGTATTGATTGATAAGAATGGATAAATAAACTCACAGACCCACATTTCACACCTTGCTACCAAACTTCAACAGACAAGTCTGCCTGCCCTAGTCCTACCACAAATTATCTAATTAATGGCTGCCACTGACAACTGTAATTGAAAAGTACTTGCTGTGCTGCCATCCTAACACTCTACTCACTTACAATAACTGAAAACAGCATAGTTAACTGAATGGCATGTCTACACAGAAGGTGTTAATGGAGCAGAACTCCTCTATTACCTGCAACTTACTTTTGGGGAGATGCAGAAATGAAATAGAAACTCATAATGCAGCATTTTCCTTAAGGTAAGTATGATGGCATTCACAGCCTTTGATGGTTATTCTCAACACACAGTCCCACTTACAAGCATTAATAAGGACAGGACAGGACTTAATACAGACTTTACAGATTGAACAAACTGGTACTGAAGTGAAAAGGCTGGCCAAAGGATACCTGATAACAAATGTAGATTTCTCTTGTTTCAAGGAAGGTCCATGCATAACACTAACTCATTAATCTACTTACAGTTTTCTGAGAAGCATCCTCATATGAGCATCTGGCCCTATCTGAGACAGAAGAAGCATAGTGTCCTGTAGCTCCTCATCACACTCCTTTTTCTCTTCCTCAGTTGGCAAAGGAGCATCTTCACGCTCATCATCCAAAAATCGATAAAATAAGTATTTGTCTTGAAAGTGATGTTCCTGATCCACTGAAAACAACACAACACATCAAAACCCAAGCTCTCCTTATTAAAGTTAACCTTGTAGAAATATGGGTAGCATTGTATATGTCACAGATATATTAGTCAAGAAGGGAAAGAAAGCTACCGTGAAACTTCAAGAGTATGAAACACCTTTATTTCTCACAAATGTTCAAATTAAGTAGCTCTGAGAGTGCCCTTTTAAATTGTCTACTACAATTTGCTGGGGTAACAGCTACATCACCTATTTCTAAGAGGTGTTCTCCAGCACAAACACCTTGCTCTACATGTTTCAGACCGGACTAAGAGGTAACAAAAGTATCTAAACTCTTTCTGATATGCTAGAAAGATACATCATGAAGACATAATCCCAGGGGAAGTTCATTGACCTGTGTCCTGGTCGAAGAACTTCATGGAAAAGACTACCAAGAGAAGACTTCTAAATAGAGGCTATAATATCACAAAAGACTAACCCTTGGTCTTCCAAGAAAGTCAGAGTGATCTGCTGAGTTGGCTACTGTGATGCATCCTGCAACAGCCTGCCCCTGGGAGTTCAAGGGAGTATTTGTCAGGAATTAAAGCTAGAGCCCTTAGGGTAAGGAAGCAGTGGGAATTATCTGTCTTCTCCATGTGCAAATTTCTCCCTGGTATGGAAAGCACAACTGAATTTAGTAATATGAACTTGGTAAATCTGTACATGCAGAGCTTCAAATAGGAATTTTGCTTTAGAAAGCTATCCTTCTGAGGGCTAGAATATCCTGTCACCAAGTAAATCCTGCCAAATGGAAACTGAGAGTGAGTGTAAAATACAGTCGGAAAACTGTAACTAACATAAAATCTCTGCACTGGAATATGTGAAGTTCTGAATTTGGGAACCATTCCAAAAACACTGAAAATCATTCCAAAATGATGGGTCTGAGCAAACAGAAATGCTCACATTCACTTCCAAATGCTTAACATCTTTGATGAAGATCAGTTTTGTGCGTGGTAACACATCTCTCGGTTTTGGCCTGAGTGCTATAGAGCTCTTGCAATACACCAAACCAGTTTACTCCTAAGTATAATTATACTTTTCATCAGTTGTTGTTAATTTACTTTTAAATATTCTCATAAGTAAAAAAGGTGAATTGGTAGCAAGATTCATGTCTCTGTGTTGCACTTGCACATTTGAATGGATGCAGGGTACTCTGCAGCATTTCTTTTGGGCTCTTAATTAATTTCTTTTTCATTAAAGTGATCTGCAGAGGCACTAATGTGCACATTGCCCATGTTTTAGTCAAGATGTTGATTTTCTTTATCTTACCATGGTTAAGAACACCTTCTTCCAGCAATACTTGCCACATGCCAACAGCCTGAGTTCGTGAATGGACACAAGGACTTTGCTGCATCATCCAGTCAACTAATTCTGTCCCCACACAGCATTGCCTGAAGGACAAATACACAGAGAGAAATGAAAAGGGAGCTAGTCAGGAGAGCCACCACGCAGACTGCCTGCCAAGAACAGTGATATCTTAAACTCTGTATAACCTTAATCAAATCTTCCTACAGAAGACAGGTCAAGTGTTTTGGGAAATGCAAAGTTCAGAGGTACCCTGTGCTGCTTGCTGCACGAGCACAACAACCTCCAACCAAGATTTCAAAGGAAAACCAAAAAGCCACGTGGTCACTAAGTAAAATTCTCTGCTGTAACACTCCCTAGCTCAGCACAATAGAAGCAAATAAGCAATGTGATAAAACAACTTACAAATCTGTAACTGATCACAAAAAGAAAGCTGGCTAGTCCTTCTAGACAGCCTCTCATGGCTCCACACTTCTTGCATCACTTTCAGAAAATACTGAAATTGCTGGAATTTAGCTTCAGTAATGCTCTTCTAATTAAAATCCCAATTTTGATGACAAACCTTTCATTCACCCTGGATCCAATCTAAATTCTGGCATTCCATATTTTAAAAACCCAAGGACAGAATAATAAGAGGTTTTCCCAGTTATTCAGGAAATAAAATGGTACAGTTGTTTTGACCAGCATTAGTCTTTATTTATCATACATGCCCTTTTGCTCTTTTAGAACAATGAGCAATGCCATATTGTGATATATTCTCAGATCAACTCACAAGCTCCAAATACTTTGCGTCATACTTAATACATTTTGGTAAGAAATATGGAAAATCAATGCACTTAAAAGCAGATCAGCAACATACTGATTCACTGTTTAGAAAATGACATACTCAGAGATTTTAAACCAATTTTTATTTGCCTATACTCTGAATAATGCATCAAGCATTTGATTTAAACATTAGACACTAAAACAAATTGATTGTTTCTTAAGCCAACAGTAGATAGATCCTGGCTCCTTGATGTCAGATTCCTATTCTACAAGTGCCATTGTTATCCCACTTCAGCAAGAGAGTGCTGCCACCAGCAGGAAGATAAGAAAGCCTGGCAATACACTGAAAAAAAAATATTTTTAATAGAACAGAAAATCTACAAAGGGGACGTTTCTCACCAGGTGAATTTTCAGAACTCCACACTGAGCAATACCTCTGTAGCAATCAGTACAGTAATGTAATATATTAATGAGCTTTCCTATTAACTCTTACTGATATACAAAAATAACAGAATCTACATTTTAACTTGATACCGCACAGAATATTCCAGCTAACTATGCTATTAACTTCGGAAGAGTTTTTGTATGTGAATGCTCTGTTCGCAATCATGGATTCAATTTCCAGTCAAATTACTTCAGAAAAGATTTACCAGGCCCATTAAAGACTGCATAACATCCAGACTCAAATACCATCACAGAATAATTTCAGACCTTTTGAGACCTGCAAGAATAGTAAGGCATAAATCACATATCAGAGGATGGCAGGCATAAAAATTCAGAGACCTCTATACAATCAGCTCACACACCTGTAAGTCTTCAGATGGTATTTACGATCTCTTATCATGTGAGGGGCTCGGGACAGAATTGTATTCCGCAAAATCTTTCCAGCTCTGAGGATCTTTTCTGAAGGAACCTTGGTGACCATGGAGGAAAAAAAAAAAGGGACCAAGAGACACAGATTTTAAACTTTCCACAATCTCTGTACTGCCTACTGCAAAACAAAACACAAGTTCTCTTTTCCCTCCTTGCACAGATACTTACTTTTGCAGAGCAATATAGTATATATTAGGGATTTTAAATCTCACATACTTATCACATCTAACAGAAAGCATGACTTCAGCTAATACACATCACACTGCTGGAAATAGCAGTTATTTCCATTTGTCTAGCAGCCTGGCTCTACAGCACATCTATGTCCTATTACCTGTGTAATGGTTTTAGTAGGACGATGTGGGTTGTGAGGTTCAATAAGAGGTGTCTGAAAAATAAAATGAAATTAAATACATTTGTAAAGGTTTAACAGTAAATTAAAATAAAGGCTGAAGTAAAAAAAACAACAACAACAACAACAAAAAACTGAACAAAGAAGCTGTAAAAATAAAGGATGACATGTAAGTTCAAGCTCTGCCCAGGGGTCACGAGTAGAAAAAGCTCCCTGAAGACACCCTAAGGACAAGCTTGGCTCAGTGCTCAGCAAATTAAAACAGTGACATGGCATGTGAAGGTGAATAAACAAATCATAGAATCATAGAATCCTAAGGGTTGGAAGGGACCTCGAAAGATCATCTAGTCCAACCCCCCTGCCAGAGCAGGGCCACCTAGAGTACATCACACAGGAACACATCCAGGTGGGTTTTGAATGTCTCCAGTGAAGGAGACTCCACAACCTCCCTGGGCAGCCTGTTCCAGGGCTCTGTCACTCTCACAGTAAAAAAGTTTTTTTGGATATTCACCTTGAACCTCCTATGCTCCAATTTACACCCATTACCCCTTGTCCTATCACTGGTCATCACTGAGAAAAGCCTAACTCCATCTCCCTGACACTCACCCCTTACATATTTGTAAACATTGATGAGGTCACCCCTCAGTCTCCTTTTCTCCAAGCTAAAGAGACCCAGCTCCCTCAGCCTTTCCTCATAAGGGAGATGTTCCACTCCCCTAATCATCTTCGTAGCTCTGCGCTGGACTCTTTCGAGCAGTTCCCTGTCCTTTTTGAACTGAGGGGCCCAGAACTGGACACAATACTCCAGATGTGGCCTCACCAATGCAGAATAGAGGGGGAGGAGAACCTCTCTTGACCGACTAACCACACCCTTTCTAATGCACCCCAGGATGCCATTGGCCTTCTTGGCCACAAGGGCACATTGCTGGCTCATGGTCATCCTCCTGTCTACCAGGACCCCCAGGTCTCTTTCACCTACACTACTCTCCAGCAGGTCAGCCCCCAACCTGTACTGGGACATGGTGTTGTTCTTCACTAAATGCAAAACTCTACACTTCCCCTTGTTGAATTTCATCATGTTTCTCCCCGCCCAGCTCTCCAGCCTATCTAAGTCTCTCTGAATGGCAGCACAGCCTTCTGGTGTGTCAGCCACTCCTCCCAGCTTAGTGTCATCAGCAAACTTGCTGAGGGCACATTCTGTACCCTCATCCAAGTCGTTGATGAAGATGTTGAACAACACCGGTCCCAGTACATGTTAAATGCATGTTAAATTTTCCAAAGTCCTAATGTAGTATGGAACACCCAAACATCACACCAGATCTGAGGCTACATGGGCCTAGCTAGCTCTTCTGCCTGCTGCTCTGGGCCCACAGTAGACTCAACAGCAAACCCTCCACTTGCAGCAGCCTCTGCCATTCAGTTCCCCCTTCACAGAAACTCCTTCTTCGCCTCCTTTTTCTGTTCAGCTCTCTTTTCCCTTGCAGCATGGCACAAGATATGGGAATGAAGAAAAAGCTCTGTGCCCACTATCTGTCTTTTCTAACTTATCATCAGGCCTTGCTGGCAACCCTTTTCCAGCAACTCTCTGTGCAGATCACTTGCAGGGTCCTGGGTAAGGACTTTAACAAAGGGGTTGGGGAAGGAAGAAGAATAGAGTAAAGCAGGTGACTTGGTTCTAACAGGGAAGAGTGAAAGGGAAGGCCATGAGGGTCCTACAAGAGAGAATCACAGAATCACAGACTGGTTCGGGTTGTAAGGGACTTTATAGATCATCTAGATCCAACCCCCCTGCAAGGGCAGGGCCACCTCCCACCAGACCAGGTTGCTCCAAGCCCCGGCTAACCTGGCCTTTAACACTTCCAGGGGTGGGGCAGCCCACATTTGCTGCACGACATAAGCAAATAACCCAGGCTGCCACCAAGGGCTCATGGCAGATGCCACATGCTGCATTCTGCAGGGCTCTGGCAGGAGGGGCTGCCCCTGAGCCCTTCAACCATCCTACCTTGTGCCACCTCTGGAAGGTTTTACACCAGCTCATCCTCTCCCAGAGCCACCTGGGTCTTGGCATAGCTGCTCCCCCAAAGAAGCAGAGAAGGGGATGAGAGATACGGAAAAACAGGTGAGGGGAGAGGGGAGACAGGAAGCATATGGCACAACACAGAGGAAGGAGAAAAGCAGATGGTTAAAGGAAAGCAGAAATGGAGACAAAGGAAAACAAAATAAAATTTCAGCAGCCACCTCAGAAAGATGGGAAGACTTTTTGCTTTGTTGAGACTGGTAGTTAACAGCATGGACCAAATTTATTTCCAGTGTGAAATGTCAGAAGACACGACATGAGGGCTGACTTTGGCTGGTGTTCTGGGCTTGTGAACAGGACAGATCATACCAAACACAGAGGCCTCCCACAAGCACAAGACCTTGCACCTCTGTCCATGGCAGCCACGGCTCCCTTACACTAGTACAGTCAAGTGGGAGGTACAGTGAAACACATGCCATGTACTGCATGGCTGCTGGGCATCAGTCTTACGCTGGGTATCTGTTCATTAACTGCCAAAGGATTTTAATGATGTGACAAAGTCCTGGTAGTAAGCAAATAGTGCTAGGAGCTATGAATGCACCAGGAGATGGTAGGTCAGCCAGGAAGGGGAAAATGAGGGAAGCACATGACAGAAATAAAAAAGATTAAAAGATCTTAATGGAGAGGCCTGTATATGGAAAACAATGCAAATGTTTTTTCATTTCTAACCATACCTTACAAGAAGTTTCTGAAAAGGCAAATCAATACAATCAAATTGGAATTCCTGATTTTTCTCATGAATAAGTCAACAACTTCTCAAAGACCCATTTAAGTTACAAATATATCTGTCCCATCAGAAGACCTATAGAACATCTGTCAGTATTTCTTGGTTTCCAGAACAGTATGAAGCATGCTTCAGACAATCTACATTTGCAGTTCAAGGGTTCTAAGAATAGCAATAATCTTTTGAAAGATGCCTCCAACGCAAACAAAACCACGGAATAACAAACAGGTGTATAAATAAACAATGAAGTCAGAGATATCACTCTGAGTATTAATAAATTTTGCTTTCATTTTCTTTTAAAAGAACTCCAAGTCCTCATCAAGTTTAATGAGATTGAAAGTAAATGTACACTTAAACAGTTGGCTAAATTGGCATTGAAGTCATTATGACAATTATTTTTAAATTCTACATTCTTAAAAGAACCTAACTTCCACATTTTAATTCTAGTTAGAAATATACTTCTAGAAGAGATAAAATGCACAAGACAAAAAATGTTAGAGACTTTTACAGCAATAGAATAGTGAAAATGAATGTACATTTTTCTTCTTTTGTTTCCATTAGGCTAAACAAAAATGTATTAAACTATTAGGTGAAAAAATTGAATATGGATGAAGATTTCTCAATAAATCTCCCATCCTAATAAAAGCAGAACAGAAGAGCAGTTAGAAGATTTCGACCCAAAAGCACAGAAAAAAACGAAGATGAAAGCTAAGGCACAGCCCAAGAATCTGCAAAAAGCAGCAGGAAGGCCTGTTCAGCTACATTTGATTCTGACCAATGCAGAAGGATCAGTTGCAAAGAGAGACTTCAACTTGGGTGAAGGTGATAATGAAATGATCCAGTGTCAGAACTTTACAGAAGGAAGTAAGAGGAACATCAGCGTAGAAACAATGGATTAGGAAGAAAATTTCCAGAAAAAGAGAATACTGACAGCTGAATTTCTGGAGCAGGCCATAGGGCAAGTATAAGGTAAAATGAGCTAAAGAGAGCCGACAGTTACTTAAAGAAGCAATACTAACATGTACAATATATCCTAGCACAGAGTTAAGCATGTAGTAAAGACTCAGCTAAAGGAAGAACTTCTCAATGAAATACAAAAAGGTAATGCACAGAAAGGAGAAAGCAGGGCATTTACAAAAGGCAAGTATAAAAAATAAATAGAATAACAAAGGACAGAATTAAAAAAACAAAGGTATAAAATGAGACAGATCTACCAAGAAATGTCAAGACCTATGAAAAATATTCCACAAGTACATGAGTAATAAAACAAAGAAAATACATTTTTTTATCTACTGTTCAACAGAGAAAAATCTATTGACAGATAATTCAAGGACAGAAGCAGATGATTTTTTTTTTTTTTGTATCAGAGAGATACAAAGAGAGATGGCTAATATCTTAAGTAGCAGTGAAAACTAAAATCTCCTACTGAAAAAAACTCCCACAAAAGAATGGTCAAGAAAATATTTTGTAAGTGAGCTATTTTCAGATTGGCTGGGTTTGTAGAATTTCATGCAGGAAACTTGAAGAGCTTGATGAAACTCTGAGAGGGCAGCAGCCACTGCTGGGGATTAGTGAAGGCAGCAGAAGACAAAAAACGGGGAAAGTGCTGAAAAATTATAGACATGCCAGCTCAACTTGTTTTCCTAGACAAAGTCCATTTGTAAGTACCTGGAAAAGAACAGGGAGATGAGTCACATGTGACATATATTAAACAAGAACAAATCATGCCACACTGATGTAATTTATTTCCATGACTGTGCAGCAACACTAATAGATTAGGGAAGAAACAGTAGATTTTCTACCCCTTCCTTTAGTAAGACTTTGGCTTTCTCTCATAAGATGTTCTCTTCTGCAAAGGGCAGATTACATTCTAACAAAATAGGTGCAAACCAGTTGGAAAAGTATCTTTTGAAAGCAATCACAACTGAAGCAAAGTCAAACTGGCAGTCATACCAGAGGTCTGTTCTGAGCAGCATTCCTAAGAATATTATCACATGTGAAAATACTAAATATTACCACCGGATGAAGTAGAATGTACACTGATTCTGCAGGAGATTTCAGGATGGGAAGGACTGCACACACATAGGAGAATAAGTCTACAATTTGATACAGTTTTGACACTGGTCAAAAAAATATGATGCTGTTACACAACACTTAGTGCTGACTGCTTTTCTGAAGCAGAAAGAATCAGCTATAGAAAGACATGGCAAGGAAAAATTGTCCTAAATTCCACAG